TATTATTAGATACCCTCGACTGGAGATAATTTATATAAAGATGCCCTCAATCGGAACACTCCTCCCTCTATAATATTTAATTTTTTTAACAGGTTGTATCTTATAATGAGCCCGGGTGTCTATTTAATTTTAAAAAATATATAAAAAAAATCTTAAAATAATCGAAATTCTCATAATTCAAAGCTTCATAAATACACCTCCATTCTTTTAAGTGAAAATTTTTTTAGTTTTTCCCTCCATTCGTTTTATTGAACATAAGGTGACATAAACGCTTCTCATCAACATTGCAAGTTGCATTGGATTCTGCCAATACTTCAGTCCCTCCATCCTTCCCAATAGGACATAAAAGTTGGAATGGACCTTTCTTCATTTGCTTGTTAAATGCGTCAGAATGGACTCTATATGCGGCAGAGAATTTACAATTGTACAGTGGTGGGCCAGTCGAGTTTGAACTTGTGTCTACCACGCAATTTGGAAGAGAATAAATACCAAGATCGGGATCTAGAAAATATAGCATATTAAACTATATATTAAGCCAAAGACAAACTATAAAGAAGAAAACAGCAACTTCGCGCCTACAGATTAGGGTTTTACTCAGTCCCCAAAAGTGGGAAATTTGAGACTTTATTTGAAAATTTCCGTAAAACTGTTCCCCATCCCCCCCCCCTCTCCCCGTCATGAAAGGAAAAAATTTTCCCGCCCCCCCCCCCCCCCCCGTGGCGCTGCCTTCCAGAGAATCTCTCCCCCCGTCGAGGAAGAACGCTACTAGTCCTCCGCTTTCAAATTTGAAGAGAACGGAGTCAGGATCTAAGAGTAACAAGTACTATCCAAGTGCCCATAAAGTTAATTTAGCCAGTGGATTATCTATATCACCCATATAAGTGTGGTCCAATTGTAATTTTGTAACTTACAAAGTCGACATCCCATTTGAGTTCCAGGACTCATTGCCGTAAATGCAAGCATCATTGTCAAAACAACAGTCACGGTATGCTTTGCACAACAGCAACCACAATCATCATCGCTGCTAGGAGTACTATCTCCAACATAATACCCACCGTACGGGTAATATACTGGGTAATAGTATGGTCCATATCTTCCATAATAAGGCGTTCCATAATATCCACGAGTTGCTCCTTTAGTGTTTCCATATCCAGGGCCTTCATATGCACCACCTTTTCCACCATAGCCTCCTTTTCCGCCACTAAAACCTTTCCCACCTCCTCCACCACGACCTCCACCGCCACTACCATGACCTCCACCACCACCACCGCCATGACCTCCACCGCTAGTTATTTATTAAATTAATTTTAAAAACAGTCAGATCTTGCTCATGCGTAAGCCTGGGACCGTCATACAAATAAAATAAATAAATGAGAGGATACCTAAGCGAGAGTATACACGAGCGAGATAACCGTATAATAAAAATATTTACCCTCCTCCTCCTTTCAGACTTCTCCCTCGAATTTTTCTGTTCGTTTCTAGACGTTTATTGCCATCGTTTAGCTGGTTTACCTCATCTGTTAAAAGCAATTCTATACAAACTATAAATTTTATTTAAAGTCGGACCTTACTACTAAATATTATGTATCCCTTGTGGTTGGAAACCCCCCCCCCTTACTCATTCAGTAGTCAACCAAACCTAATGAGGTTTTTTAAACTAAGAGTATCTAGTAGGGATCCTGCCGACTAAAAACTCATGTAAAAATTGTATAGGATCCAGACTCCGATACGTTGAGTCGAACAATGCCAAGTCGAACGATGTCAAAATCAGCCCGTGTCTCAACTACGGCCGAGAAATCCGATTATACAAATAATGGCTCATTCAGAAGAGCTCGTGTGTTAAGTGATGTTATACTCAGATCCGATTTTATGTCTACAAGGGATCCCGATTTCTTTTTTTTGGGATCCCTGTCTACCATTTTTTGGGATCCAGGATTTGGGATCCCTGACAGGGCTTTGTGATCCCTCACCACCAGGGATCCCAAATTCCCGATTTTCGTTAATTGTGAATTCACGAGCCAAAGATCGTCGGGAATTCCCGATTTTAGGGAATCGTCCCTGATTCTACCTTCTTCCTCCTCACAAATTTCATTACATTCTTCATCCTCTTCCAACAAAATTTCTTTCCCTTTCATGGTATTTTTCCTTTCATTTTCCTTCTCAAAAACTTTTTTCTCCTCTTCTTCATTTAATTCGGATAATACGGAATATTTATTGTTTGGATCAGAAAATGTTTGTTTATTGTTAACTTTTCTATTTTTATTTTTCTTTTTCTTCTTTTTTCCTCCTTCGGCAACAATTTTATTTTCATTTTCATTATTTTGTCCATAAATTGGCATCTCTTGTAATTTCAATTCTCCAGTGTTTTTATAAGAATCCGCAGAGATTGGAACTGATGCCTGAGGAATAGATCCATGCATACTAACGCTTCCGGGTGTATTTGCCAACGGATTTATTGCCTCAACTTAAGAATATTTTAAATTTAAAAGTAAGCCAAAGAAAGCATTGAGGAGGAAAGGGACGGGATTTAGAGTAGCCTCCCTCTCCTCCCTTGAATTAAATTGAGATTAAACTGACCTATAAATAAGCTTAATATTGGCAAAAAAACAATGATGTTTTTGTTTTTATGCTTCATTTTTGAAGGCCAACAAAAAGTTTTCTTGTTTCAATTTTCGTTTGTTAACTTTCTGAAATCAAATAAAGCCGTTGGGCTATAGCTATTTCTCCCCTTCAGCTAGTGCATAAGGTTATTCAGCGGCTGGAGCGAACCAGCATCTTCAGTAGACCTGACTGATGTGTTATCACGCCGCCTACAGCACAGCCTTAGGAAATAAATAGCTATATGCTTTACAATACTAATAGGCCCCCGAATTCTAACTATTCACCCAACAATTTAAATTTTGAAATTAAAAAAAATTTTAAAGAAGAGAATAATTAATTCAACTATTTGACTATCACTTAAATAAAGACCCTAAGCAGGCGTGTAGTCTCGCTCTAAAATCGCTCTTTATTGTTGACTCCCTTATTATGATAGCTTTCATAAAGATAGCTTTGCGTCATGCGACAGAGAATCACGTGCGACCTTTTCTCTCCCCTTTCTCATCACCGCATATGTCGCAAGACACAAGACGCACATATTTAAAAGCCGACACATAAAAGCACTTTATATAAAGTGCAGATAAAATTAAGAAATGCCTATTGAGAATAGCTAATTAAAGGGCATCCAATTAAAGGGCATCCAATTAAAGGGCACTTCAAAGAGAAAAATTACTCAATAATTTTGAAATATTTTGTCATAAGGGCCTGTTTACCTTACTAAAAGTGCTGTTACGAAATGATGACTTAAAGGAGGAATTCTGGCTTCTTGGCCATCTGAAATTCAAAAAACATTGGACTTTTCTTGGATATTTCGTATGAAGCCTTGACTAGTAACCGGCGCGGGACGGGATCCCGCTCGGGATTTTGCGGGATACCCCTCCCGCAATCCCGCACTTTTTTCGATTTGCGGGATTTTGCGGGAGTGCGGGATTTTGCGGGATTATTCACACGGGAGTTACTCACGCAGACAATTTTAAAAGTTACTCCCGCATGCGGGATCCCGCAAATACGATTTTGCCGGTCATTAGTCTTGACTGTTCTTTGCATTTTTCTAAAATAAAAATTTTAATTGAAAGTACCTTTAAAATTTGAATTTCTTAAATTACGGGAACTCTTACGGTACAAGTTTGTGCTTGCGCGCTCTCTAACGGCCTCTCTTCTTTCCGCTCTCTAGTTTCAGCACTCTAGTGGCCGGTTGGGATTTTTCGAAATCCCTTAAATTTCCAAAATTTTTAGTAGAGATCGGCAAAATCGCATTGACGCGATCCCGTCGCGGGATTCTTTTTCAAAAATTTTTGCGGGACAGAATCCCGCGGGATTAATCCCGTAAATCCCGTCGTCGCTAAAATACGGGATTTCTGGACGGGACACGCCCAAGTAGACGCGCGGCCATAACGGCGCAGAGCCATAACTTACTAGAAAATTTCTGGCCCATATCAATTTTGGTATCAATCTCTTTAGCTCGATGAGAGGAATCGTTTAATACTAAATTTTGCTAAGATTCGGAAATCTTAAAGCAAGTTATGGCTTTGCGCCGTTATGGCGCGCGCCGTTTTGGGCTTGTCCCTTCAATCAGGTAAAATCCCTTCAAAAGTGCTCAAAACAGTTTTCATTCGCTTACTCTTTAATTTTCTTTTACTTTTTTAGCTTTTAAAAAATTCCAAAAATGGAACAAGCCCAAAGTTTGTTATTAAATGAGCTTGCATTTGTCAGATGTCCAGATCCACAAAAAAATATATTTATTTATGAATGGCTTAAATATTTGGACAGAATTTTAACACTTACTAAAAAGGTTTTTTTTTATTTTAATACCTAAAAATTGTGCCTTGGAGTCAATATGTTTACAGATAGTCCTTCAAACTTGGGCACAACCGACCAATAACCGTTATACCAAATTTTCGTTTAATCCAAATTTAAAAACCGGTATTTGGGCAAATACCGGTTTTATTTTGGGGGAATTTTTTTAAAAATTTTATTCTCTTGAATTTCCGCTTTTTGGTTTTTTTTAATTTCAAAACGGTTAGTTTTTGGCAAAAACTCTTGAAAATTCAGGCGTCATGTCCAATCCCACTTTAAACTATAAAAAATGTAAAACGAATTTCCCAATCGTTTTTGTCAATATTTTCTTCTACGCCCATTTTTCCCCTTCCCAAATTTTTTTCTTAAAAAGGTGCATAATGGTCAACTTCCTAATTTTTTGCCAAGTTATAAACTTATGAAAGTTAGAATTCCAAATGATTGTAAACATATTGCCGCCACTGTATTTTTAGTTTCTAACATTTTCTCACAAAGTACGCATAATGGTCAGAACAGATTTTTAATTTTTTATGATTCAACTTCCATCGTATTTTGGTTTTGTTTTGGTATTAGCTCCAAAATAGCATTTAAAAATTTATTTTCCGTCTAACTGTGTTTCACGGATTTGAGGATAAAGGGGAACATCTAGGGATTTGTGGGGATTGTGGGGATTGGGTGGATATCTAGAAATCTGGGGAGATTTGAGAGGGACGTGTGGATTAGGTATAGCAGAATCAAGAAAAATTCTAAATATTTCAGATATATAAGGGACTAAGGACCAAAGAGTCGCAAAGGACCAAAAAAGTCGCAAAATTACTATGGTGTGATCTCCAAAATATTTTTTTAGTGTTAACTTTTTTTCAAAGATTTGTGGGGCTAATGGGGAATATCCTGTGATTCAGATGAATTAGGAGGATTTGTGGGGATTAAGGTGGATATCTTGAGATCTGGGGAGATTTGAAAGGGACGGGTGAATTAGGACTACTCCTTGGTTGATCCAATCCAATTAAATCTGAAATAAAAATTTAAATCGATTTTGTTAAATTTTTTAATTTTTTCAGTCAGATTTAAAAAACAGTCAACAAAAACTAGTCGAACAATTAAATGCCAGAATTGTCCCAAATGGTTGTTCTCACCCAACTCGATTGCTTTTAGGCCGTTGTATTGCAAAACTTTTTTCTGTTGCCGATGCTTCCCATCTTTTTGAAACGATTAATTTGTGCAATGATGCGTTAAAAGATCCTTCAGTTTTATTGCAGGTTAAATTGTAAGTTAATTTTGGGTACTTATGTGGGTCTAGGATGTGACGCAGGGGAGTAGCCAGGATATTTTTTTCGGGCGGGGGCAAGGAGGGAGAATTTTTCTGCGGAGATTTTTTGATGCCACGGGCGAAGATTTTGAGAAATTTGGAAGGCCTTAATTTTTCCCCTTTTCACCGCCATTTCTTTATGCTCTCAAGTTCTGCCCAACCCTCTGGCTATGGTTCTGATGGGATGATGACCTTGATCCTAAACACTGACTTATTTCGGCCCAAGACTCCGATTCTAGGGATATTTTGAAAATCGATTCGAACCCCGACCCTTTTTTTAACCTCGGTTTACCTCTTCTCTTTTTTTGGCTATTCTAGTTTTAATCCCTCTTCTATCCCAAATAGATAATTTCGCTGTCAGTTTCCTCAAATCCTCAAAAAGTCCGCAAAAAGAGTCAGCAAAACCCCTCTTGTTGTTAGTCCACCACAAATTTCTATTCTTCTTATTTTCACTAAAAAAATATTTTAGGACAGCTCTTTCCGTACTCGGTGAAATGTTTGAATACTTGGGCAGAATGGTTGGTCGAAGTTATGAAGAAACTTTTCAATCACTGGCAAAATGGCTTAAAAGCGCTGAGGTTTTTTTTGGAATTTTTTAAATTTAAAAAATATTTTTTTTAATTTTTTAGTCAAATGCTCGCATTGAAATTTTGAAAACTTTGACCAAAATGCTTCATGGTCTAGGCTCTGGAACCTTTCCAATTTTTAAAGATATTTACAAATGTTTGGCCAAAGCTCTTTTTGATAGGGTAATGCCTGTGAGGGTGGCAGCTGCAAATGTAAATATTTTTTGATTTTTTTTAGTTTTTTGACTTGGGCCGGTCTTTTGGGTCAGACCTGTAGCCAGATTTTTTCGGAGAGGGGGGGGGGGGGTGGTGGGTAAAAATTTTTTCCACCGAATTTTTGGCGTAGAAACAAATTTTTTTGATTTTTAGCGCCGCAGGCGAAAATTTTGAGAAGTTCAGAAGGCCGTAGGCCAAAAAAGTAATCCCCCCTCCTTTTGCCCCTCTGGCTACGGGTTTTTTTCGGTCACCAAAATAGGTGTCCAAACAAATTAATTATGAAGATTTTCGGTTCCTTTTTAGTTCTCATTTCCTAGTAAGGTCTTTAACTTTATTGTTCTTCATTTATTTCTTCCCATCCTTCTCTTTTTGGTCTATAAGTCCAAAAGAGTTATAAATTTTATTCACCAAAATTCTAAGGAGCCGGAAACCCAAAATACTTACAATAACAGACTTATTTTCTGGTTTCTTCGGAGCTAACATTTTGACGTTATTTATAAACAATTTTTTAACCTTTATTGATTTGATACACATAAAAATGGGAAAATCGTGGAGAAGAAACGACTTTTGACTTCTATTTTTGTCTTACGTACCAAGTAAGGGGTACGCGTTTAAATTTTGATGTGGGGTTAATGCAGATGACCTACACCCAGAAGACCTATTTACCCAACCCTCCTCCACAACCAAAAAATAATTTCTTTTTTTTGTATTTAAGTGTTTTGCATGTCTCGTCGAAATTCCTGATTCTCCTCTTTTTATCCAACACGATTTGGAATCAATTTGTACACTTTGTATTAAATCGTTGCACGTTTCTAATGCAGATTTGAGGCTTTCTATAGCTAATGTTTTTGCAAACCTTGCTTTTTGTGTTTTGAAATCGAATGATGGATCGGGTAGTTCTCGTCAAAGAGCAGGTTTATTTATTTTATGAATCAAATTTTAGACATGGGACACGGAATTTTGATCAGTGAATTTTTAGTTTCACCCAGGAATCTCACGTGTCATTTCTGGTTCCGCAGTTGACACCTTGACACCCTTCTCTTGCGAAATCCGAAACCCGGACAATTTTTCGACTCGAAATCCTACCCGATATTTTTTACTGACCTTTCCTGGTTTCGCCTTTCCTCAAAATTCCAAAAATCTTATTGTTAGTTATAAAAATTCGTGACGCCTTAGAATTTCTAATAGCTTTGTCGGTTTTTGGAGACGGATATTCTGGACTGACCGAAAAATCCTCGGTTCTTCACCGATGAAAATTTTTCATTTTTTTAGTTACACCAACTTCAACCAAAACTCAACAACCACAAAATTCTAGTCCTTCCAAATCTTCCACTTCTGCTCCTTTTGATGTTTTACTTCGTTGTTTATCTAATGGCATGTTGAGGGGAGGTGTTGGTGGATTTTTAAAGAATGCTAAAACAGCAACTGGAATTCGAGCAACGATTGGTCAGCGAGAAACACGTATTGGAATTTCACAAGTTTGTTTTTTTTTCTTTTGGTAAAGATCTAGGGTATTTGTGTAGATTGGGTTAGGTTCCTCTAGACTTTTTTTGGGAATTTTCCCCCACTTTCTCCTATTGTCAGTTAGCCTTTCACTAGTTAATTAGCCTTTTGGTATGTAGTCTTGCCCACTCATTTTTAGTAGTAGAAGCATTTCAGTCTACCAGAAGACTGAATTCTTGACCTGACTATTTGGCTAGATCCCATTTTTATGAGCCTTTTTATGTTAGCAGTGCTAGACTAAGGTGTACTTTTTAAAGTTTTGTTTGAGAAATTGATTTTTTGATATCTGTTCGAATGCAAAAAGGGCAAACTTACAATTAGGCAATAAAATAGATAAGTAGGTAGATCTTGGGAAAATTCTACATAAACTTGTAGACTCTCTCAACAAGTCTGCAAATTTTTCTTTTTTTTTAAATTTTAAACTAACGTGTTTTGACAATCTTTTTAATTTTTTCCCTTTTCCAGGCTTATGTTGCTATTGCCCGTAAATTGGGCACTCATTGGCTAAAACGAAACATACAACTTTGGTGTGAACATTTATTGGGATTGGCTTGTAAAAGTAGTTTAAGTATTGGATCTACAACTTCTTTACCTTCATCTTCCCAATCATTTTCTTCACCCAATGATCAACTTTTAACAATCCGTCGCTGCCTCCATTATATTTTTCGATCAACAATAGGCAGCTTACTTTCAGAGCCTGATCAAATAACTGCTTGTAAACGTTTGGGAATTGTTTTGGCTGAATATAACAATTGCTTTGGTATTTTTTATATTTTTAAAATTTGGTATGAGACGAGTGGTCCTCAACAATAGGTGGGGAAATGGATATCGAGTCTTTGGGTCGAGACTCGCTATTATATCCCTAGAGCTGTCCAAGACCAAGAATTTTCCAAGACTCGTGACCAAGTCTACACCCTAAGACCAGGACCGAAAAAAATCCTAAGAAAATTTTTAAGTCAAGACATAAGAACCAAGAGTCTTGGACAGCTCTAATATTCCCCCACTCAATTTAGGGGTGAATATTTTTTAATTTGGTTGGTCAGTGACATGAGTGGAAAGTGATTTTGCCCGCGTGATTACTTTCATTTAAGTAGGTTTAGATATAGATGTCCGTTATCCGAAAAAAGTACAGAAATTTGATTTTGATGTCGAATCCGGATGTCTGTTGATTTTACCTGATTTGCCAATCCTAATGATTTTTCAGTCCCAAAGGGTGTCTTGTATTTAGTCTGTCTGACATTGAATATATAATTTTAAATTAATTTTCTTACAAAAAAAAAGATTGCGCAATGGATTCAAGTAAAGAAGAGGAACGTGTTCTTACCTCTGAAGTTCATGCTAGCGCAAATGCTAGTGTTGTTTGTTTAATTGAAATTGGGTGTATAGGTTTGAGTCTTTAAAAAAAATTTTATATGCTTATTTTTTCTTTTTTTATAGCGCTCCAAGTTGATACAGCGATTAGCACAGTTTTTATTGAGGCGTCTGGTGTTTTGGAACCAATTTTTGCTTGTTTACTTCATCCTATTCAATCAGTTAGAATTGCTGCTTCGTTTTGTTTAAAGTTTGTTTTTTTATGTTTTTTGATTTCCCTTGCCAGATTTTTTACCCTCTCCAAAAAATTTTTTACTCTGACTTTTTTGGACCGAAATCCGAGCAAAAGACAAATTTGAAACCCTGACAATTCATTTTTTCGACTGACATAAAGTAGTCGGAACCTGACTTGGTACTGGACGTGGGGTTTTGGTGTCTGGATATTTGCGACGTTTACAGGCAGATATCCGCAGGCATTTTGAAATCATCTGGATCCACTACCGAGATCTGTATCCATATCCGTATTCATTACCAAGTCTGGTCTAAGCAATTAACATAAGGCATCGATCTACACCTTACAAATTATGGATCGATGCCTTAATCGTCTGGTTCCGACTACCTTTGTCTTTAAATTTCTAATAGGTTCTCAAACCCAATTATATTTTAGATGCATTGTCACATCAATTCCTTCATTAACTACACCACTCGTAGATCGCTGCCTAAGTCGTCTAGAATACATGAAAAAATCACCTGAGGCAATCAACGGATTTTCTCTTTGTTTAGCCGCGTTGCTTTCTCAATGTCGCCATTCTCAACTCGGAATTCCATTCGCCAAATGCCGTCAAGTTTTCAATTTAGCTGAAGAATTAATTAAATCTGCAACTCAAACACCACGTTTAATGTTGAGAAAAGTGCAAGCTGGATGGATTTTGATTTCGGCAATTTTATCATTGGGTATGAATTTTCAATCGAATTTTTTTGTTAAAAAAAATTTTTTTCAATTAAAAGGTCCAACATTTGCTCGACCTATTTTACCCAAACTTTTTACACTTTGGCGCATTTCTTTTCCCCGTTCTGCTGAAGAAACTAAAACTGAACGTGGCTGTGGAGATGCTGGAAGTTGGGAGGCTACTTTGGAGGCTAGAGCGGGTGCTTTAGCTTCAATGTCTATTTTGGCTTTGCGTTGTCCTGAATTAATCAATGATGAATTGGCAAAAAAGATTATTGTGCCAATTGAAACTTCGGTAAATATTTAGCTTAAGTGAGCATTGTTTAAGCTGTTCTTCTGCACTGGCCCTACCAAAAATATAACCCGTTTAGCTAATTTTGAGAGAATAGAGCATTATATATTTTTGATACGGGCTGGGTCCTTTATGCTGTTCTTACATAAAAAGCGTTTTGCGGCAAAAAAATAGCATTTGAAATAAAGAGGAGCGATTTTGTTTTTATGACGCAAACCATAAGAATTTCTTGACGCAAACTATAAGACGTTTTTTTATGTAAGCACAGCATTATGTAGTGGTAAATATCCGCAATTTCAACTTCTGGTACGGGCCCCAGTGGCCAGCCAAATTTGAAAAAAATTTTTTTGATTAACTTGTTTCTATTATTAACAGTATTTTAATAACGGAGGCCTCTGTATTTAGAGGAAATCCCCGATCAGCCTCTGTATCAGGGTTCTAGCCGGCATCAAAATGAAATTCCCGATTTCGGGAAACTGGAATTCCCTACCCAAAACCGTCGAGGAATTTTCGATTCTCGTGAATCGTGTCAGCTAGACCCCTGTTCTGTATTTTTATTTGTAAAAAATTTTTATTTTTTCCAGTTAAGTACAATGTCAATGGTTGGAGATTTATTACTCCTTTATGGCGTTCGTATTCGTTCAGTTATACAACTTTTACATTTACGTCTATTCACATTATTATGCCGTATTCCAGTCTCTCGATTTGAATCTGCAATTAACCCATTATTAAAAGAAGTTGTGGCAGAAATTACTTTGTCTGATAATTCACAAACAACACAAAAAAATTCTTTGTGTGCTAGACAATCATTTTTGAGTAGTATTGGAGGAGGTCTTGGACGTGGAGTAGAACAAGAAATTTATTTAGAAAATGAGGTTTTGTTCTTTAGATTCCCTTTTTTGGTTTTATTTGTTTTTGGGGTCACTTTTGGATTTTTGGGGGTTTTTTTGGATTTTCCTACATTGGTTGGTTTTTGATTTACGATGTCTTGCAAGGGCGTAGCCAGAGGGTCGATTTTGGGGGGGGGGGGCTAACACTGGGTGTGCGCAAAATTTTTGGTGTTTACCTGGGCGTTCTGGACCCAAATTTTTTTGAACCATATTTTTATTTTTTCAGCGCCGCAGGCGAAAATTGTTTTAATTTTAAATGCCGTAGGCCAAAAAATTCACTTTTTCGGCGCCGCAGGCGCCAAAAATTTTGATTTTCAGCGCTGCAGGCGAAAATTTTTTGAATTTTGGAGCTCCGAAGCCAGATTTCTTCCATTTTTAGCGCCGCAGGCGAAAATTTTTAAAATTATGAAGGCCGTAGGCCAAAAAAATTCACTTTTTTGCTAATTCTTCCCCTAATTTTTCTCCCCTTTCTCCCATTTCGGGGGGGGGGGGGCTTTAGCCCCAGAAGCCCCCCCCCCTTGGCTACGCCCTTGATGTCTTGGTCTGTGATTATCCTCGGCCTTTTAAACTTTTTTTGACTGTTTTATGGGTTCATTTGAATTTTACACAAATTAACTCTATGTCAAAAATAGTAGCAATAATCCAACGAATAGTTCAGGTCCTGTTTCCCTATGTCCTGGACCCAAACAATATTCTAAATATCTAACTGAAGCCCAAAAAGTAAATTGAATGAGACCGAACTACTTAATCAAAATTTTACTCTACTATATATTTTTGGATTTTTTTAGTTGAATCCTCTACAGCCTCTTCAACCAGGATCTTTAGATTTTGATCCTCTTCATTTGATAGAATATGATGGTGGTTATAAAAATGGAAGTACTAAAGAATGGTTTGGATTTTGAATTTTTTTTTGTTTTTGCGAATCTCGTTTTTTTCAGGTGGTGGCCAGAACCTCAACCTTTACCAATTGCTGCTCTTGATTCTGCCATTCAATTATTTTCAAAAGTTTTCCCAGTAGTTTCCCCTCGCTGTAAGCTTCAACTTCTTCAACATTTTGGTGAACAACTAAAAATTTGTCAAAAACCTTTAGCTAGAGCCCAAGCCCTTCAAATTAATATTTTAACGTCTTTATGTTTGGCTGCGGAATTTATTGGTAAAAGAAGGCAAGGAGGTGGAAGGTTAGATGATGCAGAATTACAAAAAGCTTGCGCTGATTTTGTGTTACCTTTTTTGGAATCCAATTCATTGTTAATTAAATTCTTGGCTGCAGAGACGTTGGGTAGACTCGCACAAGCGGTAGCAACGCCACAGGTTTAAGAAAAAGTTTTTTATTTTGTTTTAATACTTTCCCGGTTTTAAATAATTAAATGGTTCAGCAGTTCGGCTTTGTTGCAAGTCCTACCTATTAATGGTCCTTGCCCCCAATATGTTACACGAAAATTTTTCTTTGATTTCGTTTTTTGGGGCTTTTGGGTAATTTTCTGATTCGTTTCGGGTTTTCAAAAGTTTCTTTTTTTAATTTTTCGTTTACCTTTTCATCAAAATGTTTGGATTGTCTTGAGACAATTCCCAAAATTGGTCCAGACACCTGGAAAGCACTTATATGTTTCGGGTTTTCGGCGGGTCCGGATTCTAAAAAGGGCCGGATCTTTGGATATTTTCGGTTCGGATACCGGATCCGGATATCTGAAGATTTCAAACTATCCGCCAGCCTTATTGCTGTGAATTTTTATTATTTTTCATGGCTATATTTTTGTCTTATGAAATTTCATTTTTTCTTTTCTATTTAATATAAAATTCAATATTTTTTTAAGTTTGTTGCAGCAAATGCCCAATTTTGCTTTGAAAAAATTCGTTCATTAAAAGATGAAAGTTCAAGACAAGGCTATACACTAGCAATTGGTTCATTGCATCGTTATATGGGTTCATTAGGTAGTGGACAACATTTGAATACTGCAATTGAAATTTTGCTGTCGTTGGCTCAAGACACTAATAATTGTTCTTCTGTAAAGGTTTTTTTTTATTTTTTTAAGATTATTTTTAAAACAGTGTTTGCCTTAATTCTAAAATACATCCATTACTGGGGAGGTATTTGTTTGGTCAGTACCCCTAATCCCTTGTCTGACAAGGAAACATCGGATACTGTGTACAAAAATGTGATAATTTTTTTGGTTCTCAATAGAAAGTCGATGGTCCTCTATCGTTTGGTACCATAAAAAATTTCCTCCATACTCGAACTGTTCAACTTTGATTGGCCATAACTCGGTCCAAATTCATCTTTCAGAAAAGCCCGCATCACTTCCTAATAGAAAGTTGATGGTCCTCTATCGATTGGTACCAAAAAAATTACCAAATTTTTGTACACAATATCCGATGTTTCCTTGTGAGTAAAGGGATTTGTTGGGTTGGGAAAAAATTCGAGTCAAGGTTTTGTGTCAGTTTCTTGAAAAATTTTTTCTGATCATTTTCGAGTAACTCGATTGATTTTGACCAACCACAAAGAGCATTAATTTTTTAATTTTTTAATTTTAAGCAATGGGCCATTATTTCGCTGTCACTGATAGCTTCAACTGGAGGTGGAATGTTTTGGTAAAAAAAATTTTTTTTATAAATATTTTTAAATTTTTCTATTATTTTTAGCCCATATGCTGAACCAGTTCGTAATCTTTGTTTCCAATTATTAATGAATACTCAACACTTGTCCAACGAGATTGTTCGTGCTGTTGCTAAACTGGTTTCTTTTTTATTTTTTTTGCTTTTTTGGATGTCAAAAAATTTTTTTTTCTCCACAGATTTTTTCTCTCATAACGGCAGCTGGTCCAGAACTTAATTCAACACCCTCAAGTAATAATGGAAATAATGCAGAATCTGCTCGTAATTCTTTTCTTACAATATGTTCAATGCTTATACAATTTGATGATCCTTTTGTTAAAGCCGATGCTACAGCTTGTTATCAACATTTACATTTATTTGTTCCTCGATTTTTGGATATTTCTCAGTTGGTGTTGACTATTTGTGTTTGTTTTTTATTTTATAATATTAATTTGGATTAGGGTTGGGCACTTACCCAAACTTTTTTTTGGCTTAATCCTTGTGTTGTTAGCATGCCAATCGATCTCGAACCTCGGGTTGGAATTCTCATTAGACACACTTTTTAATCCCGGCAGAACCTGATTCCTGAATTTTATTCCTTAATTTCTGAATCACTCATGGTCTCCTAATTTTAAATTGAATTTTGCACAAAACCTAATTGATTTAAATAAATTTGACTAATCATGGGTCATGTACCCATCGGATCCCTTCGTTTTCTTACCAATAACCAACTTCTATTTTCAATTTTAATGCAGGAATTTCTACACAGTCCAACATTTATTTTACGAAAATCAGCAATTGTATGTCTTCGCCAATTGCTTCAACGCGAATCTCACGAAGTACGCGAGCATGTTAAACCTTTAATACCTTCATCTGGTTTATTTGTTGAAAATGATTTGGATGGTGGAAGAAAATCTGCGAAAATTTCTGACAGAGTTTTTGTCCTACCAGAATGTGGACTAGAAGGAGCCCTTTTTCAAATGATGGATACAGAAACTGATTTTGAATTGCGTGAACATATAAAGGTTTTTTTTGAAATATATGAGGGCAAGGGCGTAGCTGGGGGGGGGGGCTTCCTAATGACCTCCAAATTTCAAAAAATTTTCGTCTTCGGCACTAAAAAGGGAAAAAAATTTGTGGCGGCGCTGAAAAATAAAAATAAGTGTACAATAAAATTTGCGTTCAAAATGTCAGCGCACCCCATTTTAGCCCTCCCCCTGAAATCACCCCCTGGTTACGCCCTTGTATGGAGACTTTAAAATTAATTTTTTATGTATTTAAGCAATCTCTTCTCTTTTTACTACAAACATCATGTAACGAACTTCTTGGATTTTGGTTACTTCTTTGTAAAGACATTTTGGGCAGTTCCCAGTTGAGTCAAGATAATATTCGAAGCACAATTTGTGTGACTGTTGATGATGGAAAAGAGGAAAATGAGGTTTTTTTATTGTTTTTTATATGTTAGGGGGGAAGAACATTGACCCGTTGCTTCTTAATTGTTAGGATAAATCCAAGACCTCAGTTTAAGATGGTTTTCTTAATTGGTTGGTCTTTGGGTGTGAAGAACTGCCTAACATAAGCTATTTGCATAAGCTACAATTGTACGATTAAGAGGGATTATCTTTAATGAAGTTTGGCAGTATTTCAGTTAAATTTTTTGTTTGATCATATGTTAGTCAGTTTAAACCTGAGATTGTCCAGCTACTCGGAAACACTGATCAATTCGAGACCCGATCCGAAGAATTTTTTTTGAAACCCTGGATTTTTTTCGTTCAACTCTAATTTTTTTCTTACTTTTTACTTATTTTAAATCTTTAAGGATGATGACGATGACAATTTACATGGAAGTACACCTTCAAATACCAAAATTGGAAGCACAGAAATATTAATTCAACCTCGTTGGCCAACTCGTTGTTTTGCTTTTGAAATTGTTCAACGCCTTTTGGGTGTTTGTGACACAGACAAGGCCCATTTGGATTTGGCACTAGCAAAAGAATTGAAACAGATGGATATTGAAGACGGAGAATCGAATACAAATAAAAAAGCTGGAGATTACCTAGTTTTGCATCTTTCTGATCTTGTTCGAATGGGATTTATGGGTATATATCAAATTTTAAGCACAATTGGATACCCCTTGGACTCGGAAATTTTATCTCCTAATGTTTCACTTATGTTCGAGGGTATCATTTGGACGGCTCTCCCCAGCTGGAATCCCCCCCCCCCCCCAATCGGGAAAATGAAAAAATTTGGTTAAGTGATCGGGCAAAAAGTGAATTTTTTGCCCTATGGCTTTCTAAAATTCTAAAAATTTTCGTCTTGGCACTAAAACTCAAAATTTTTGGTGCCTAAAATTTGCAGAAAAATTTCTCTTTGGCTTCCCTCGAAAAAATTCTGGCTACGGGCCTGGCTATCCCTTCTTGTTTTATATAGCCTTGGGTATGTGATTCAATGTATTTTTTATTTTTATTTTTTCAATTTTTAGGTGCAACTAGTGAGAATTTTCATTTGCAAATGGCTGGATTAAATTGTCTACAAAGCATAATTAGTAAATTTTCCAAAGTAGCTGAGCCAGAATTTCCCGGACATTTATTACTTGAACAATTCCAAGCTCAGGTAAATTTTGCAATGCATACTTATTTAAATCGAGCCGGGCTTTAATTTAAATTTAATTTTGTCAGATTGGAGCAGCACTTCGTCCCGCCTTTTCTCCCGAAACTCCCCCAAATGTTACTGCTTTTGCCTGTCAAGTAGCGGGTACTTGGCTATGTTCTGGTGTTGCTAGAGATTTGAATGATTTGAGACGTGTTCATCAATTATTAGCATCTTCTTTAGATAAATTGCCTAAAAGCAAGTCGTCAGATGTTGAAAAGCTTGAGCAAGATAATTCTTTGGTAAATTTTTGCTAGATTTATTAACACGAAATATTAATTAGTTTCGATATAGAATACGCTTTGAGGTTTGATGGGTCAGACCAGAGGTGGGTCGGAACAGTCCGAGGTGTCGGAAATCGGAAATCAAAATTTTTTTTCGGAAATCGGAAGGAAAAAACGTCGGAAATCGGAATTCCGAGCCACCTCTGTCTGGTTCAGACGGACGAAGATTTATGCGATACCCTCTATTTAAGATACAACTATAAGATAGAGCCAGACATGGCTTGTAGTTACTCGGAGCTGAATTGATCATATCTTATGATGAGATGTATCTTAAATAGAGGGTATTGCTTTTGTCAGATCCTTCACCCAATGGGCAATCAAATTTAATTGATGAGTTTTAAATCGAGGTGGATGTTGGGTTCATCAAAAAAATTCGGTCAACTGTATCATGGGATGGGTTTTCTTCCACATCTTCCACTAAATTTCCTTTTTTTTATCTTTACGATTCCTCTCGTTTTTAATTTTGTTCCGCCTTCTTTTGTGTCTAGATATTTTTGAGGAATTTTATTTTTAGTCATCAACTCCTCCAGCATCTATGCAACTTTACAATGAGAGTATTGCAACTTTGGAACAATTATCAATTCTTCGTGCTTGGGCTAAAGTATATATTTGTGCTATTGAACAATGGAAGAAGCAGACAACATCAAAAGAAGAATCCTCAAATACAAATAATTCTCTTTTAGTTTTGGTAGAGCCTTCTTTAAATATTTTAATAAAACATTGGTTTGCTGTTCTTCGAGATTTTTCAATTCTTTCATTACCTCAAAATATTTTGGACGATTTGAAGGAATCTGGATTTGATGGAGGAGGAACTTTTTTCACAGCAGATAGCATTGAGGTGAGGAAAAATTATTAGAGTTTCGGAATTTTGGTTATTTGAAAGTAGGCTACTAGGGTTCTTGGTGACCGGTCAGTTACCGGTTTTCGGTTCGGTTAAACGACCCCCAACAACTCTTTTGGTCATTCATGTTCGATTTGAATTTTGACAAAACATTTAGGTAATTTTAAGATGAAGAGAATGCAGTCGTACCCCGCTTATATTTAGTTAATGTGTGACTCGCGCAAGTAGAGTCCGACTGTACTTTTTAATACCGAGGATGTTTTTTAAGGGAGCTTCGACTGTGAACTTTTTTGTGATTAGACAATAATCTAATTCCATTAACAAAATTCCAGTTACCTAAGAATGCTTTACAACACAAATATACCTAATTTTTTTTTCAGTGTTGCAAAGAGCATTATTACACTTCTTGGCCATTAATTTTACTGGCTTGTTCAGTATGGATGCGTTATGGGCAAAATCTTCAAAATCCTAAAGATTATGTAATTAAAGAAAAGTCTAATTTTCATTTAATTCTTGGAATTTGTATGGATTTTTTGTCAAATAATGCTAAAAGGGAAGATGAAAGACCTATTCAACTTTGTCTTTCTTCAATAGAAAATTTATTGGAATGTGAAAAATTACAGTTAGAATTGATGTCTGATGTTAGAATGCCTATTGAAGTAAAAATTGTTTAAAAATCCTTGTCTATCTTTTTTTATTTTTAGCTTTTGAATGTGCTTTACAAGTAGGTTTTTATCATTTTTGATGGATTTTTTTAAATTTTACGAAGTTTAATGTCCCTTAGCATTCTCCCAAAATTTTCCGAACGTTCCTAGACAGGTCGGGTTTAGAAAAAGGTCGAACCGGGGTTGCTAATTTTTTCAGATCGAAGGATTTTCTGGATATACCTCTTTCTACCTAGATTTAGATCAGTTATTTCGTAGTGCGACACTTGGGGACGGGCATTTGTGGAGTGGGGGGCGGCATCACCGTGCTCGTGCAAAAATTTTAATAAATAAAAAATAGAAACAATATTTTAAAAAATAATCTTGAGGGATTAAATGGGATATCTAGGGATTATGGTGATATGGAGAGATCATTGGATGGATGGATATCAGTTGATTAATTGGGGCTGTTATGGGTAAAACGTAACGCCCGTTTTTGATTTCTTTAATCCACTATATCAACTTAATCCCATCCCTCGATATATTCGAAGCGTCTAACAATAATTGCTAATAGGCATTTGGCTAAAATTTTATTCAATTTTTTATTATCAGATTAATCTTAACTTTGGACAGTATGCAAACACAACACCTTTTAGTTAGAATAATTTCAGCAATTTTAAAAGCAGCAAAGCTTGTAATAGAATTAAATAAAAATGAAGAAGAACATTATCAAAATCATCATCAAAATAATAATATACAACTCGAAAATGGACATCTTTTAACTTCAAATAATTCTTTTAAGGGTAGTGAAGGAGTTGGGGGAATTTTTGATCCATCAAATTCTTTAGTTTTTGCGTTGCTCGAATCAATTATGTGTATACTTGCGCGACAAGTAAAATAATTATAAGTGAATTTTCTACATTTCTTTTTAGATTCCTCAAGTTAACTTGCCTCAAGCGAAAGTTCGCATCTTGACACCCTTGCAAACAAGAAAGTGTGGACATCTTTCTACTGAAAGTGTAATTATTGAGCCTTTTTATAGCTTTGGGTTCGATTCGGTTCTCTTCGGGTAATTATTCGAGGGAAGATACTTGGTAGAGTTTCACCGGAATTGAATTTTTGACCGGAACTGGATCCAATTTTGACCGGAACCGTAACCGGAACTTTTTCTTGATTCTGGCCCAGAACCGAAACTTCCGATAAAACTCTTAGTATCCGTTTTCAGGTAATAGGATGCATGTGATGTATCTTGAACCGAAAAGACCTCTTCTAGCTTTATTTCTTCGTCCTTTATCTTTAAAATAAAATTTTTTCTTTAAAGGATGAATTAATTCATTCTACAGTGGATTTACTTCCTCAATTGACTTCTTTTTGTTGTACAGATGGTTTAATGGTTATTTTACCTTCACTACTTAATTTATTGTTTGGCATTCTTCGAGAATGTTCTTCTCAAGAAGATGATAATCAACAACAATCTAAAGCTATTAGTTCTGCTATTTTGGTGAATAAATTAATTTTATATTTTTTGATACAGTTAGACCTTATTATAAGATACTCTATTGAGACTGAAAAAGCATAACTTATAATGAGAATTTTTATTAAATAGAGGTTAAAGCTGTCCGAGACAGAAAATTTTCCAAGTCTCACGGCCAAGACTACTTAGACCCCATTACAAGACCAAATTTGACAAGATCTTACTATAACGAGGTGTATACTAGATAGTGAATAGCTTATTTGGGACGTATCTTGAATTGGGGGTATTGCTTGGACAGCTCTCCCCCATCCAATAATCAACCAATTTAAAACCTACCCTAAATTCGAGGTTATCTGCTTCATTGTACTTTTATAGTGAGATCTGACTAAAATCTATTTAAAAATTTTTTTGTTCATTATCAGGCTTTAAAGAAACTTTGTATTGAATGTCCTCATCCAACAAAAGAACAAAAATTATTTGAAGCATGGGAATCGGTTAGAATAATTTTCTTAAATGTTTGTTAAATTTAATTTTAGATAATTCGAAGTGGCCTTCTTTCTTTGCTTAATTTCGCTAATGGTAAAATGATTTTAAAATTATTATCAAATTAGGGGATGGGGTTTGAGTAAAACAGAAATTTTCCTTTCAAACGCCTTAATAGAAATTGCTTTTCTCTTTTCTCCTTGGCGCGTCGAACTTTTTGGATTCAAACTTCAACACTTTAAATTCAGGTCTGATTCAATTTGCTTTTTAGCCTTGTGAAATGACAACTTTCGGGTCCACAAAGTTCGCGACACGCTTTTCCTTAAGGCAATCACGAAACGTTTCGCTATGTCTGGTGCGAAACTTCTAATAAAAATGAAATTTAAAAGAAAAATGGGAAGGATGAGGAAATAGGGGAACTGAGAATTCGCGTTTAAATAATAGTCGGCCAAAAGGAATGACCTCTATCACTAAAAGTGTTTGAAAATTCCTTGGGAAGGATTTGATTCTGATGGTAAAATGATTGAATTTAAAGGGAAAATGGGAAGGATGTGCAAAAAATTCCCAATCTTCTCAATATCCATATTAAAATAAAAATTTCAGAATCGCATCAATCTGGCCATAAAGAACAACAATTAACCTTACTATTATCCGCTGCCGTTATTTTGTCTGCTGCTTCTACAGCAAAACCAAAAACAATTAAAAATGGGGAGGAAGGAGACGAATTGCCAACAAAAACATTTTGTGTTAATCAAGATTTGTTTGAAAAATTTTGTTTGGCGCAAAGAGAAGCCCTTATTAATAATGATGAAGAAGAAAAAGGAGAAGAAAGACAACGCATAATAATTTTGAAAAGATTTATTCTAAATTTATGTCAACAAATTACAGTTGGCAAAACAGACACTTGAAAAAATGTGTAAAAATATTCGGCTCTATTACACAATATACGTCCAATTAACTATTATGCGTCCAATCAACTTTTATACGTCCAATCAAATTTTATACGTCCAATGAAAGTTTATGCGTCCAATAAAATGTTTATACGTCCAATGAAAATTTATGCGTATAATAAAACATGCTAATGCGTATAATAAACCCACTAATAAAACATGCCTTCTATTTTTTAAATTTATTAACACTAAAATTATGATACGTTACGTCGAATTTTCGAAATTTATGGATTGAATGCAACAAATCTTCACAGAAAATTAAAAACCTTTAATAGACGAGACTGACAAATTAATTAATGATTTTCTCGAATTCAGTCTTAATTAAAATGTTTTAGTTTAAAAGTTTTAAATTGTAAACGTCTAATTTATTAATTAAAAAATATAAAATATTATATTTATATAATAATAGATATATGTATTTATGAAAATCCTTGTTATTTAATAAAATAATATTAGAAATAAAAATTTCTTAAATGAATGATTATTCATATAAATAAACTTAAAATGTATTATGTACTTAAAATATATTATGTATTAAATTTTATATTTAATGTGCATTAATATTAAAATTAAATGTATTATGCAATAAGGGTGGAGTAAAAAATTAAGGGTGTGATAAAACATTTTTTGGGAATTTTCAAGTCTATTAATTAACAGATTTTTCAACCCACTAATAGAACATGCCTTCTATTTTTTAAATTTATAAACGCTAAAATTACGATACGTTACGTCGAATTTTCGAAATTTATGAATTGAATGCAACAATTTATGAATAAACTATCCTATTATTGAATTCTTCTTTTAAACATAATGGTTTTTGAGTTTTCTGTCGTTTCTTTAAATGAAAATAATGTTATAAATAAAGAGGAAAATGATAACATTCAACGACAAGTACTTAGCGTGAAACAATTTTGACTCATCAACTTCTACCATTTTAACTTGAACTCTTGCTGCCCATCCATGACAGAGGTCGCGAGATACTTATAATAATACACGACAGTATTAGGAGATACTATGTTAGTTTTGGCTTAAACGGTAGTGAGTTTACTTGTTGGGTTGATAGACTAGTAATAAGCGACACACATTAAATTTGTTTCCTAAATTATGTATTTTTAGATGAATCTCTGTTAGCTCTTGAGCAAGCTCTTGAGCAAGAATTCATTTTTTACTGGACATATAAAATTTATTTGGACGCATAAACTTTGATTGGACGTATAAATATTTGATTGGACGTATAAATTTTTATCGGACGCATAAAATTTTCATTGGACGTATATAAGTTGATTTGACGCATAATAGTTGATTGGACGTATATTGTATAATAGAGCCAAAAATTCCATATAGGGCTTCTGATTGTTATTTTTTAATGTTGTATTTATGAATGACTCTTATAAAGATAATTCTTTAAAGTATAAATCGGTCGAGGCATTACGATCAAAAATCTCGGTCATCGAGATCTCGATTCTCGTACGACACTCTCAGTTTTATATTATTGAATGACTACATATTTTTTCAAAAGTTATTTGGCTATTAATGAGAGAAAAAATTTAAATTGAGGATAAAAATATACCGATACTAGAATTTCACCGGAAGTTCCGGTTCCGGAAAGTTCCGGTTCCGGTTTACAAATCGGTTCCGGTGAAACACTAATCGATACCATCATCTCAAATTTTTATTTATGGGTTCAGTTCTCACAGAATAACGATAGCACCTATCGATATGTTTAAACAAAGTAAAGCTTGAAAGTGTGTGGGATAAATTATATAAATGTTAGGGTAGGAGCAGCCCAGCCCAATTTAACGCAAAGCAATAACTTCGTTCAAAATTATTCGATCTGTGACTTCCTGGTATTGTTGGATGCGTCTCGACGAGCTGAATTTAACAATGTCAAGGCGTCTTAAATTCGATAATTTTGAAAGTTAAAGCTCGGGGGTACATTGGGCTCGATGAACGTTGGGGGTGTTGCATGTTTTGATGTTTTGGGGTTTGTCTTTATATTTTTTTTCGCTCAGTACTTTATAGCTTTTTCAATAATTCCATATTTCTTAATTTATTCGATTCCTTTGTTTTTCATTCTATTTTGTTTTTGATAGCAATTTCTACATATATACTTGTCTGGTTCTGAATGTCGGTACCATTGCCTTGTTTGTATTACACCACATGTATGACAATGACGACCGTGCTAAAGTAAAATTAAGTAAAGGCGAAAACCTCTCCACATCCCTTCCCAATTCGTATTCCTTATATGTAGGTTACGCAAATATTCTTCTGTTTTCGGAAGAATTCCAAAAACAGAAGTCTATGTCTCGGACCAAATTATACCGTATTTTCTCGATTAATTCCCCTGGGAAATTATTTTTTCAATTCCTTCTTTGGCATGGGAAATTAATCGAGGGAGGGGAATTACCTATTTGAGTTTTGGCATTTGAACGTGCAGTAGGGTATTTGGGGGTGAGGGATTGTTGTTTCAACCCAACTCTAGCATGGGGAATTATTCGAGGGAGGGGAATTAATCGAGAAAATACGGTAGTAGACATATGTAGCGACCGTTTACTTATTTAAAATTATTATTTTAAATAATTTTAACCTTTTGTGAGTTATACCACAATTTCTTCGGTCTAAGTTTTCCAGTGTCTCGTTTATACATGGCACATGGGGTGCAAAAAAAATTTTTCAAATAGGTATTCCACTGAATAGATTTTGTTTCTCCACAATTAAAGCAATTTCGTTTGTTTCCTTCGTAAATTTTACCTATAATATTTTAAGAATAAGGTCTTCGGTTCTGTAACGAACTGAGGAATCAAAGTTTTTAGGTTGGGTTCTGTAACATTTTAAAAACATTTTTTGAACCGTAAGCCCTATTTAAGAACCAAAACATTTTTACGAGGTGAAGCAGGGTAAACAGAAAATATTTTGGGTAAAACTATCAGCCAGTGATGTCAAAGTTAGTTCAGTTCCGCAACTAATTAGTTCCAGAACTAGAACTACGGAACTAACGATTATCTGGAACTAGTTTGGAACTAGAACTACGGAACTAGTAAATGCCTGGAACTAGCTTGAAACTGGAACTAAGGAATTTCAAAAATGGAGTTCCGGAACTGGAACTACAAAAATTAAAAACCTAGTTCTGATACTGGAACTAGTTCCAGAGAAATTTTGGAACTTTGACATCACTGCTATCAACATTTTAAATAAAGACCAGCAACTCGATTATGCTTATTTCAAATAATATTATATAAGTGATAAATCTTTTACTCATTTCATTGTCAATATAAACAATTCTGCTTTCTTCTTTCGAAGTTTCAACTTTTTGTTTTTCTAACAATTCAATTTTATATCCATTCAAATTAATTACCGTCCAATAACTTGATAAGAGTTTGTTTTTATAATTTTCTATTTTTTCTTTAATTAATTTCAAATCACTATTATTTTCTGAATTCTCATTTAATATCGAAGTTTCATAATATTTATTCTTTTCAACAAAATTATTTTTTAAGAGCACCTTAAATTAATTATTAGGGTGCGTCAAAGCAAGCAAAAGCATATTTTGCATGCGGATATGCTATGAGATGAAACGTTCAAAAATGGTGTTTTTACATAGGTCCGAGCACTTTGGGACCAGCTTCTTAATGCATATTTTTGCATATTTTTACTTTTGTGCATATTTGCATATCGATGCATATTTTGGGAAATTTTGCATGTTTTTGCCAAAATTTGGCATATTTCGTTATTTTTTGATAAACCTAGTAACTACATATAATCAAATTAGAAAATGCAGATCTTTTCCATTTGTGTTGGAGGGGGTACCAGTGGAAGTGGGGTAACTATTTCAACGAGGGAAATTAATACATTTTATACAGTACCCGTTTTTTAAATTCAGGCAAAATACTTTGAATCTTTTGACTATTAGCAATTTCAATCACAATTTTCCTTTTTAATTGTTCAGTTGGACTATATTTAGATTTTGAACTTATTTCAGTTTTAAAAATATTTTTAACGGGATTAAATTCATTTAAACGCAAATATCCCTCTATATTTTTATTAAGACTATCAAATCCGTTATTTTGTTTATCAATTGTTTTCACCACAAAACTATCTTTTAAATCAACATTTTTTAAATAAATAAATTCTCTTTTTCCTTCCCAATCATTTTTGATTTTTGCTTCTACTTTAATTATTTTTCCTGCGCATTGAATATTTAATAAAATAAATAAATGGAAGATAATAATGATTATAAATTTAATCATTTTTTTAGTTTATTTAAAAATCTTAAAAATAAACATTTTAATATTAAGTAGAATGTTAAGGTATTTGTGCGATATTCCTTTAATCCCTCTGATCCCCCTTGATATCCCGTTTAATCTTTTTCTCTTATTAAGCTACTATTAAGAATCACCAATGCTGGGTATGCCTTAGGGAGCTAGCTCCGGAGCGACCGGCGGAGCTAAGATTTTACTATGCCCGGATTGGAGCCAAAGTTTGAAAAGGTGATGGAGCCACAAAATGCCCAATACCCAGCACTGGGCTCAACTTAGGCATATATAAGAGTGACTTAAACGTGACAATTTTTAGAACTCCATCAATCATTCAGAACACGTAAGAGTTCTGAAACCGTCAAAAAACTTCAACCTTTGGAGCATCAAACTAAATTAACCGTTCCAAAATACTTTTAAACGAAATGTAAAACCCTTTTTGAGTTTTTGAGACCCTATAAATAAATAGGGTCCCAATTTTAAAATTTTAATTAAATGTTAAGGAGGGTGAGATAAACAAACATACATAAAAAATATTATTAAATAATAATATTAATTTTGGCAATAAACAAAAAGTGCAAATTTATTAAAGAGCCCTTTCTTAATTGACAAAATAAAATTAAAAAAAATAAGTAAATAAATTGGGAAATTCCTTTAATGTTTTATTCCCACATAAAAAATTTTAAAAGAGATCTCCATGGGGTTGGTTCGAAATTTCGATTTTCGAAATGATAAGATGATGGAAAAAATCCTTTCTCCATAGAAAATTTTTTTCTATTTTTTCTCGTCTCTAAATAATTTTATATTATTTAAAAACCTCCTTAAGCCTATTAGATTTTGGGGAAATAAATCTAATGTGGAATGAATTAATTCCTCCTTTATAAAAGGCTAGTGGGTCTCTTCGGTTAAAGGTTACGTCTTACGGTATTTTGTCTATTTCGCCTTTTCTGGTATTTTGTCTTGTCTCTCCTTTAGTCTCTTATATTTTAAAATCAGTTTCGGTAAACCCCTGCTCCAGGGAATGGCATTTCTCCTTAATTTAAATAAGGTGATACAGTATTTTCTCAACTAATTACCCTCCCTCGAAAAACACCCTACTTTCTTTCATTTCGAAAATCGAAATTTCGAACCAACCCATGAAGATCTCTTTTAAAATTTTTTATATAAAAATAAAACATTAAAGGAATTTCCCAATTTATTTACTTATTTTTTTTAATTTTATTTTGTCAATTAAGAAAGGGCTCTTTAATAAATTTGCACTTTTTGTTTATTGCCAAAATTAATATTATTATTATTTAATAATATTTTTTATATATGTTTGTTTATCTCACCCTCCTTAACACTTTATTAAAATTTTAAAATTGGGACCCTCCTTATTTATTGGGTCTCAAAAAACTCAAAAAGGGTTTTACATTTCGTTTAAAAAAATTTTGGTCGGTTAATTTAACCAGATACGCTAAAAGATTGAGGTTTTTTGATGGTTTCAGAATCCTTACATGTTCTAAATGATTGCAGGATTGATGGAGTTCTAAAAAATTTAGGTTTAAGTCACTTGTATATGTCTCAGTAGAGTCCAGTGCTGTGTATTGGGCATTTTGTGGCTCCATCACCTTATCAAACTTAGGCTCCGACTCCGGGCATAGTAAAATCTTAACTCCGCAGAAGTAAGCTCCGGAGCTAGCTCTTAATAGTAACTTAATAAAAGTAAAAGGATTAAACGGGTTATCAAGGGTGATTAGAAGGATTAAAGGGATGTCGACACAAATACCTTAACATTCTACTTAATATTGAAATGTTTATTTTTAAGATTTTTTAATAAACCAAAAAAATGATTAAATTTATAATCATTATTATCTTCCATTTATTTATATTATTAAATATTCAATGTGCAGGAAGAATAATTAAAGTAGAAGCAAAAATCAAAAATGATTGGGAAGGAAAAAGAGAATTTATTTATTTAAAAAATGTTGACTTAAAAGAGCGTTTTGTGTTGAAAACAATTGATAAAACGAATAACCGACATGATGGATTTAATAAAAATATAGAGGGATATTTGCGCTTAAATGAATTTAATCCCGTTACAGATATTTTTAAAACTGAAATAAAATCTAATTCGAAATATAGTCCAACTGAACAATTAAAAAGGAAAATTGTGATTGAAATTGCTAGTAGTCAAACAATTAAAAATGTTTTGCCTGATTTTAAAAAACGGGTAACGTATAATTGCCGCACCCTGTATTACTTGCCAAAATTTGCCGCACCCTGTATTACTTTCCCTCCATCAATATTTCCCCACTTCTGTTGTTACCCCTCCAGCCACAAATGGAAAGGACTTGAATTTCTTTAATTTGATCATATGTAGTTACTAGGTTTATCAAAAAATACCATGCGTTTGCATGTTTACTATGCGTTTGCATGTTTCGCCGTACCCTAATAATAAATTTAAGGTACTCTTAAAAAATAACTTTGAAGAAAAGAATAATTATTATCAAACTTCTATATTAAATGAGAGTAATGATTAGAGCCCGGATTTTTATGCATTAAAAAATGCAAAATATGCACAAAAATATGCAAGTAAACCAAAATATACACGCATATATGCATGAAAAATACCAGTTATACCTAAAAATTCTACATATTTTTAGTCAAAATGATTTAAAATACATTTTTTATTAAGATTTCTCCTATTTTAAATGTATAGTTCGACAAATTGAGCATTTTTACGGTGTTGGGCATTTTGAGATGAGGCATTATGGTGGTGGGACATCTTGGGGTGCGACGTTTTGGGTCTGAGACATTATGGGGGTGGGCCATTTTCTGGCGAAACCAATAAACACAAAAATTTTTTACAAAATTTGTAATTTTTACAAATTTTTTCCTAAATTTTTACTAAATTTTCACTTTTTGGCAGGATTTTAGGCAATTTTCGCAATATTTTCCTCAAAAACCTCAAAATATGCAGTAAAATATGCATTATGCAACAAAGTCCGGAATATGCAAAAATATGCATTATATGCAAATAGAAACCCCCTCTAAAGTTTTCAAAACTTGCGGAAACAGTGTTTTTTGTGCATAACACATCATGAAAAGTTTGCAAAAAAAATATGCATTTGCATAAAAATCCGGGCTCTAGTAATGATGTTTCGAAATCAATTAAAGAAAAAATGGAAAATTATAAAAACAAACTTTTATCAAGTTATTGGACGGAAATTAATTTAAATGGATATAAAATTGAATTGTTAGAAAAACAAAAAGTTGAAGCTTCAAAAGAAGAAAGCAGAATTGTTTATATTGGCAATAAAATGGGTAAGAATAAAATCATTTTTTGCCTTGTCTTATCTTATTACCAGGCATGGTCATGGATACGGATACAGATAATATCAAAATGCCTGCGGATCTCCGCCTGTATCCGTCTGTATCCGCCGTAAATATACGGATACAAAGATCAGTATCCGTGACCATGCCTGCTTATTACTAATGTTGTCATTTCATGGAAATTCTTCGGATATCCGAAACCGAACGAAGAGCCAAACTGAAAAATCTTCGGTTCTTCGATTCTGCATTTTTCGAATAAATATTTTTATTTTTAAAAATATTATAGGTGAAATTTCCGAAGGAAAACAACTAAATTGTTTCAATTGTGGAGTTACTCAAACAAGACAATGGCATAGATATTTGAAAGAAAATTATTTGTGCCACGCATGTTGCACATATCAACAAATCCGGGGAAAGCATAGAACGGTAAAATTTTTGCTAATTACATACTACAAGAGTTTGATCAAGTTAATTATTATTAGAGATGGGGGTTTATAGGGTGTTTAACTACGGTAAACTAAGTGGTAGGAGTTCGTAGAAGAGAGATTAAAGCTTTAACTGTAACTAATTTAAGAAGAATGTAAAAATAAACCCTGCTGATCGTCAATGCTATACTTGCAATACTGTACAAACATCACAATGGTACCGACATTCAGAATCGAAAAACTATTTATGTATGAGTTGCTATCAAAGACAAAGTAGAATGAAGAAAAGAAATGGAAATAGAAGCAATTCAGAATTATTGAAAAAAGCATAAATATGTATATTGAGCGAAAAAATCCTGATACCGAAAAATTTTCGATTCGGGCATTAGATGTTATGCACATATGTTATGTCCTTGATTTAAATATTTCATTATATTGGTATTAGTAATAGTCCCTTAATCTAGATGCCACTAATCATTTTAAATTCACACACAATTTAATCCCTCCAAATCCCTCGATATCTCCCTTAATCACTCCAATTGGAATAAGTGTTCCCTAATCATGTAATAAGGGCTCAGGTTCAGTGCTATAAATTGCCTTTCTTCTTTCGCTTTAAAATGGATCTTTGATTTGGCAATCTACTGAGATCGATCAAAGCTTTTTAATCCCTCCTTGCTTGCATCCCTAATTTCAAAGCTTTGAGCCTGAGCCCTTATTCCAAGATGAGGGAACCCTTATTCCAATTGGAGTGATTAAGGGGAATATCGAGGGATTTCGAAGGAATTAGAAAGGATTTTGAAGGATTAAAGTACGGATGAATTTAAAATAATTAGTGGTATCTAAGGAATGATGATGGAATTTTATATTAAGGGATATTATATAAAGTATCTTCATCTTGTCTTTTTAGAATTCTGTCATCTTCAATTTTTAATGTCCAAATAATTGCTTTATTGCTCGTAGATAAATTTATATAATTAATTTTATCTTATTTATCAATTCAGTAAACATATTTACTTATATTGAAGACCCTAGTATGGACTAACCCGGCACACGACCCTTAACTCCAAGCACTAACAACTTGGCATACCATTGTCGACACCCAGCCCGTGGCTTGGGTCAACCCGACCTGTCCCACACTTGATTCCACTACAAATCTCAGCACTACTCCGCTCTCATTCCCCACTCCCATTCAACTCCCACGAGTCCTCGAATTTTGGTCACTGGGTGCAGAAATGGGAAAGATGTGTGATATTTGTAATTGTCTTTAGTAAATATGTGATATATCAGTAATTGCCTGTTGCTGAATAGTTCGACATTAAAATTAAATAGATATACAGCTTGAATGAGATGTTAAGTATGAGTTGTTTTTTAGCTCAACCCAGCGGAGGGGCCAAATTCGCTAGTTAAAAAAATAATTCATTAAAACACCCAACTTTTTTGACGGAATGACTATTTTTTAAAGTTGTATGGTTATTGATAAAGAATTTTAAAATTTATACTATAGTATAAAAAATAATTTTTTTCATAAATTAAAAAAAATAATAAATATAAAAAAAAATAAAGGAAGAAAAAAAGAGAATTAGAAAGGAGTCCAAGAATGAGGTAACAGAAAAAAACAGAAAAATGAGGGTGAGAGTTTGAAAAAAATAATAATAAAAATATTTTTGTGTATATGTATATATAGAGATCTATAAATGGGACGGATGATTGCTTTTCTCAATTTTTTTTTTGGATTTTTTTGTTGGTGTTTTTTTTTGTTTTTGTTTATTTAATTTGGTATTAGTGTTCTTATATTTGTTAACCAAATTAAACTCCTGTCTCTGGCGCATGAAGATGTGATTCGGCAATCCTGAAAAATGAGGAAATTTTGGGTAGTCTACTATCTAGATACTCTCATTGACCCTTCCTATAGGATACACACTTGGAGTGGAAAAACGTCTCTTATAATGAAGGGTTCCTTAAATAGAGGGTATTGAGTAATCATAAGATTGATGTGTCTTAGATAGAGGGTAGCTTATAATAGAGGCATTTTATAACGAGATATATGAAAGGTACCTTATATTGAGTGTATCTAAAATAGAGGGTATCGTTTAAGCAGCTCCCTCCAGACAGTAGCTAACCATTTTCTAAACTTATTTTAAACTGTAGTGTATCCTACAAGGTTCAACGGAGTATTCATATTTAACTGTCGATTCTCCTTTAAGATTCACGCAATACAAGAACACTTCAATTCAAGATACTTTTAAAAGGTGGTTGACCATTGAGGGCGATACCCTCGATTTAGGATACCCTCATTATAAGGTTCCATCTTTTCATACCCGAGGGTGTTCTTATAACGAGGTTTGAGTTTATATCGTCCATAAATATATCCCCTCAGGCCTCTAATTAAATAATTCAAAAGAGTACCGGTTCATGGTCCCACATCTCCGACATTGTCCTTACAATACAAGTCGAAATTTCATTGTCCATTAATGCAGGTCTAACACGTGGTCGACATTTACGTAAAGCTACATGTTCCCTTATTTGGCTGAGAGAAGGGTTTGTACCAATTTCAGCTTCGTAAGGGAGCATAAATGGTGGAGGTGTTGAAGTTACTTTAAAATGTTTTTTAATTAAAATTTTTGCGGATAAAAAGATGCGGACAAAACTTTGCGGATAAAAAATTGCGGACAAATATTTGCGGACAAAATTTTTGCGGATAAAATTTGCGGACAAAAATTTGCGGACAAAAAATTGTGAATAAAAATTTGCGAACAAAAAAACTTGCGGACAAAAAATTTGCGGACGAAAATTTGCAGATAAAAAATTTGCGGACGAAAATTTGCGGATAAAAAGATGCGGACAAATTTCGGGGACTTTTCAATACATAAAATACGAAAATAAGACTTACAACGAATATTTTCACAATTCTCGGTTACTTTATTTTCAACATTTTCTTCCTTATTTTCTTCATTAATACAAGTCCTTGATAATACTTCCCAGATTACTAAAGCAGCGGCATAAACATCAATTTGTTGGAAAGCAAAACTTGTAAATTCTGTAGCTCCTTCCAATACTTCTGGGGACATATAACGACGAGTACCAACCTTGCATATTTAAATATAATCGGACTTAAGTATAATGTAACCCCTGGGAATTCAAATTTTCAGAATTTTATTTCAGAATCTAAGTTTAATGAATTCAAGTATTAAAACTCAAGTTTTCAAAATTAAAGTTTTAAAACTCAAGTTTTCAAGATTAAGCTTCAGAATTGAGTTTTTAAACTTACATTCTGAAAACTTAAGCTTTAAACCTAAAATTAAAGTTCTAAAACTTAAGTTTTCAGAATTATTATTAAGCTTAAGTTCTAAACTTGAATTCTGAAAATTTAGGTTCTTAAGTTTTCAGAATTTATTCTTTCAGAATCCAAGTTTTAAAACTTAAATTTCAAAATTCAAGTTTTGAATTTTTTCAGAATTTAAGTTTTTAAGCTTCTATTTTAAAACTTATTTTTTCAGAATTAAATATTTTAGAGTCCAAGTTTTAAAGCTCAAGCTTAAGAATTAAAGTTTTAAGATTCAAGTGTTCAGAATCTATCCCAGAATAGTTTTAAAACTTAAGTTTCCATTATTTATGTTTTTAAAATTACAATATACCACAACAATTTATATTTAAAAATTCAATTAACACCTGTAAAAGATTTTGTCCAGGTGAAATAGTTTTTGAAGATTCACATTTAAGTGCTAACCCGAAGTCAGTAATACAAGTAGTCAAATCATCTCTAACAAGAATATTTTTACTTTTCAAGTCTCTATGTACCTTAAACAATAATTTTATTATTTTTGTCTACAAAATAGAGTCAAATCTCATTATAATATACCTCCTTGGGGCTAAAGAGTTCTCTACCTTATAATGAGGTGTATATTAAATAGAGGGTATCTCTCAGGCAGCCGTAACCGACCAGCGCCAATCAAATTTTGTGAAAGCGTATCTGAAAACTGGGGTGTATCTAATATTGGGGGTATTTTATAGTGAGATTTGACTGGGAAAACAAACAATTGTTGGCTTAGGATCAGATCTATTTGGTATTTCTTCGTGCAACTTTAAAAAAATTTTTTTTAATAAAATAAAAATTCAAAAAATATTACAAAAGCAAGTCCACAAAGCATAGACGAAATCATTCTTAACGATTGAAGTAAGGTTACTGTATTTTCCTTTAAATTATGAATAATGTGAAAAAAATTAAATTTCAGTTATTTTCCTATATGCTCCTAAAAGTCCGCAAGCTATAATCGCAAACTTAAGTTTTAAGAATTAAATTAATATTCAAGTTTTAAAACTCGTCTTCAAGTTTCAAGTCTTTCAATCAATTAAAGTGTCAGAATTTGTTTAAAGGTTTTAAGCTTACGCTTAAATTTAAGTTTAAACTCAAATTTTCAGAATTTATTTTCAGAATTAATGAAAAAAATTAAGTTTAAAACAAGTTTTCCGAATTAAAGTTCTAAAGTTTAAACTTAAGTTTTCAGAATTAAAGTTTAAACTTAAGTTTTCAGAATTAAAGTTTAAACTTAAGTTTTCAGAATCCAAGCTTTAAAACTTAAGTTTTCAGAATTAAAGTTTAAACTCAAGTTTTCAGAATTAAAGTTTAAACTCAAGTTTTCAGAATTAAAGTTTTAAAACTTAAGTTTTCAGAATTAAAGTTTAAACTTAAGTTTTTAGAATTAAAGTTTAAACTCATTTTTTCAGAATAAAAGTTTAAACTGAAGTTTTCAGAATCCAAGTTTTAGAACTTAAGTTTTCAGAATTAAAGTTTAAACTTAAGTTTTCAGAATCCAAGCTTTAAAACTTAAGTTTTCAGAATTAAAGTTTAAACTCAAGTTTTCAGAATTAAAGTTTAAACTCAAGTTTTCAGAATTAAAGTTTTAAAACTTAAGTTTTCAGAATTAAAGTTTAAACTTAAGTTTTTAGAATTAAAGTTTAAACTCATTTTTTCAGAATAAAAGTTTAAACTGAAGTTTTCAGAATCCAAGTTTTAGAACTTAAGTTTTCAGAATTAAAGTTTAAACTTAAGTTTTCAGAATCCAAGCTTTAAAACTTAAGTTTTCAGAATTAATTTTTGAGTATTTCAATACAAGTTTTCAAAATTAAAGATTATAAAAGTACGGATACTCAACTCAAGTTTTAAAGTTAATACTTAAAACTTAAGTTTTCAGAATTAGTTTTCAGAATCCAAGTCATAAAACTTAAGTTTTCAGAATTAAAGTTTAAACTTAAGTTTTCAGAATTAAAGTTTTAAAACTTAAGTTTTCAGAATTAAAGTTTAAACTTAAGTTCTCAGAATTAAAGTTTTAAAACTTAAGTTTTCAGAATTAAAGTTTAAACTTAAGTTTTCAGAATTAAAGTTTAAACTTAAGTTTTCAGAATTAAAGTTTTAAAACTTAAGTTTTCAGAATTAAAGTTTTAAAACTTAAGTTTTCAGAATTAAAGTTTAAACTGAAGTTTTCAGAATCCAAGTTTTAGAACTTAAGTTTTCAGAATTAAAGTTTAAACTTAAGTTTTCAGAATCCAAGCTTTAAAACTTAAGTTTTCAGAATTAATTTTTGAGTATTTCAATACAAGTTTTCAAAATTAAAGATTATAAAAGTACGGATACTCAACTCAAGTTTTAAAGTTAATGCTTAAAACTTAAGTTTTCAGAATTATTGTGACTTGCGAGTAAAACTTTAGGGACTTTTAGGTGTCTAAACCAGAATATGCAGTCATTACCTTCAAATAATCAAAAAGAGAACATTTTGAATAAAATTTAATTAATAGCATATATTTCTTTTCAAAATAAAAGCCGCCAAGAAATTCGGCAATATTATCATTTTTTGAAATTGATTTCATTGAATGAATATCCTAAAAAATATTTTTTTGAAAAATTTTTTTTAATTTTGCTCTTTAACCATTTCATTAGTCCAACTATCCTCTCCATTATCCACAAATTGTTTTACAGCCAAAAATCTATCTCCAATTCTTGCTTTATAGACTTGGCCAAAACGTCCCTCGGCAATTTTCTTTAAAATTTATTTTTTTTTAATTTTTGTAAAAGGGCAATGTAGTAGATTTAAAGGGGTTTTGCGGGCATTCTTAGGGACGGAACTTTTGCCGCACCCTGTATAGAGTCGTATAGTTAACCTGAGAAATTTCAGAAATAATACATACAATTACTTAATATGTAATTGTTAGGAGGTATCCGGGTCTAGTCATGGCTTCTTGGTCATGGCTTGACCCATCATTATTCCGTTATTCTCATTATTTCGTTCCACCTTTGTTATTCTGTTAAGAAAATTGAATAGGTTGAAAAGTCACTAGGTCACTGTTTGATTGGCGGGTCCCACACAATCAAAAAAGTTCCGGACACCTTCAGACGGGCCTAATAGTTTAATGAGATTGGGAAGGATTACGGAAGATATCGCGGGCTTTGGAGGGAGATCGGGAATTAATTAGATTTGGAAGGATATCTAGAATATCACGAGATTTGGAGCGATATCAGGGGAACTCTCTCTTTCTAGAGAGGGTTCCCCTGATAGAGAGAGTTCCCCTTCTCTCTCTTTCTAGATTTATTCAAAAAAATGTCCGCAAAACCCCTTCAATCCCCCACACATTAATTTCAAACAATTACTTCAGTAATTTCCATCTCAGTCAACTTCAACCTAGTTCCATCACTCAACGTAACCTCCCCACCAATTAAAGGTTCTCTACTGTTCATTCCATTGCTTATTGGTCTAATTTGTTTAATCCCTTTTTTTGTAATTTTTTTTCTAAGTTTTTGACTAATAGCAAAACATGAAATTGAAATTGTTATGAACAAAAGAATTAAAAGAAGCATTCCAACAATGAATAATGCCAAATGGTAATTTTGTAGTTGTTGGTGGAATGTTGGTTGGGATGGGGGAAGTGTTTGTTGTTGGTTTGCTTAAAGATAAATCAGATTTTTAAATAACTAGCTGGTCTAATTTATACGTCCGTTGAACCTTTATGAGTTCAATAAAAACTTGCGAGTCAATGGGGGGGTTTGACTTTATGGGTACCAGACTCGACGAGGTAATACTTTGAAATAGGGTAGCAACCCGATAATAACAGCTGGTCTAGTTTATGCCCCGAAAACCTCGACCCGAACCCCGAAGACTTTACCCCGACAAACCCCGATCCCCGACACACCCGCCTCCGAAAGGTCGGGTTGCTACCCTACTTTGAAATCACTCCCCCTCCCTCCGTCATTATTTTATCCTTCCTATTTCCATGACTATTAAGCTTCTTCCTTCCCTCTTCCCTTATTTCTCCTAAACCAAGTCAAATTAACCCATTAAGTACCCAACTATGGGAATCAGACTAACAGTCCACAGCAGTGGTGTGAGTCATTAACTCAATCTGAGTAGATTACTCTATGGCTATGTATGACTACGGAAACAGGGTACTCAGCGATTTAATCGGACTCAAACCCTTGTTGGACTTATAATGGCTTTAATGGACTTAAAAAGGTTCATTGGGCTTATGAGCTATACCAAAGCCAAAATTCTCTGAAAAAATATTTTTCTTCTTTTACCTAGCAACTTGACAATTTCATTATCTTCTTCCTCATCTTCATAATCTGGTTGGGGTTTGAAAGTAAATTTTGAATTGCAATTGTGTGTTCGACAACAACAGAATTTGGCTGACAAACCTATAGTTCCGGTCCTTCTAAAAATATTTTATTTTTGGATTTTTCTAGGTAACAAAGATAGGGAGATATGCACACTTTGTTACAGAATTTTCCCAACAATGTCCCCTGTCAAAAATTTTCCATTTTGCCTTATCTAGTAAATTTCATACGTTAGCGAATGTCCCAGACCCGTTAACGAATGCCCCAGCCCCAGTATCCCAGTCTAAACCTCGTATCAACCACACATTCATCTTCAGAACGACATTCGCGTAGTTCACTAGCACCTTGAGACCAACAACTTTTAATGCTTGGTATCTCATGAAAGGTCCCATTTTCATTTATGGTGTATAAACTGACGGCCATACAAGCCTAGATTATAACAAAATTATTTTTTAAAATTTTTAAATAACCAATAAATGTGTATTTATCGAAGCATAACACTTTACGGTTTCTGTGCAATCTTCCGGATTTTTAGAAGCACAAGAATTTTGTTCATATTTCTAAAAAAATATTTTTTATGTAATTTTTTCTCAATTTTTTTTATTTTTTAAATTTCAGATAGAAAATAAGTAAAAATGACAAGACAAGTTTTACGTGTGCTCGCCTACTATAAAAGCTTCTTTATTACTGTTAGGGTGTCATTAATTTAGTTTAGTATAAAAGCCGCAGCTTTTCTCAGTCTTGTGTTTATTCTGTTAGATACAGTCGACATTCTATAATCAACTCTTATTGTTTCTATTTGTGATATTACTAAATTAACCAAGGTCTGAGTTGATGTAATCAACTATCTAGAAAAGTGCTTATTGCGGGAGAAGGTCAGATTACATAATATAAATTTATTCAATTATCATTTCTTTTAAAGGGAAGAAAAGAACAGCTAAAGAGTATCTCTAAAAAGGAAATTCCTACAGGGCGGATCATTGAAAGGATCAGTTTATATTGATATAACAACAAAAAGGAGCGCTTTCCTCTTAAAGAAAAATTTCTACAACGCGGAACTTTGAAGGAATATTTATATCAATAGAAAGGGGCATATTTTAGTGATTATGTTATTTTTAATGTATTGTTCAATAATTCAAATTTATTTTTTTATATCCCATTCTAATTTCATAAATAACCTGGCAATAAATAAAAGGTTTATTTTTTAATGCAGGTTCAGTGTCATTAACATCCAAATCATAATTAACACCAATTTTGCCAAATTTATCGAAAAATTCAGGCAAATTCTTCTCGTGATTGTCATCAGTAAGGGCGTTTGAAGTGGCCAAATAATTGTTGCTGTTGTCTATAATCTCTTCATCACTCTATAAATTAAACTTTAGAATAAATGTACCCTTCACAAAAAAGCTTATTTTCGCTTCCGCAACTTTTTGCGGAATCCGCAACTTTTTATCCGCAAGTCATATTTTTAATTTTCCCGGAAAAACAATTTTTATGAGTCATTCTAAGATAGTTAAATTATTATTTAAGTTAATCTCTACATGGTTATAAACAAATTTTGTTATCAGAAAATAATCCCTCTGGAAAAAAAATTTGCGGACAAAATTTGCGGACAAAAATTGCGGACATTTCTGAAATAACACAAAATGCTCCATTTCAACCCCGAATTCACATGAAAATAATTTTTTTTCTTATTTTCACCTGTTGTTGTATTGAACTATTGAATCGATCTCTGACAAACCCTTCCACTCCTTTGTTGTCAAAAAATATGTCGAACAACAAAAGATTGATGACAAACGACGAACAATAAAACATTCGATAAATTAGCAACATTTAAAAAATAAATATTGTAATTGATAAATAGTCAAGAATTTTTTCAGAATAAATAAATCTGTTTAATTAAAAATTAGCTAATTTTTAAAAATTCAATTTAGCCGGCAAAATTCAATTTAGCCGGCAAAATTCAATTTAGCCGGCAAAATTCAATTTGGCCGGCATAATTCAAATTAATTTCCAAAAATTAGTTTTTTAATTTAAAAATTGGTTTGGATTTTGTAAAATTTTTTTAGTTTAACGATCAACGACCAATTATATTATATAAAATATTAAGCTCAATTAAATTTAAAAACTAATATCGGCCGGCCGAAGGCCGGCCGCTTCCCCGAAGCCTGACATCCTGGGGGCAACTTTTTACGGCGCATTCAGGAAAATTATAGCTGTGGCGCCACGACTTTCCCTTTGCGCCGAAACGACCCCACTAAAATTTTTATCTCGTGAACCAGAAGTCGGAGCGGAAAAGTCCCGCTGGGAGGCACGCGCGCCACGATTAGTAGATAATGTTTAAAAAAAAAATTTCTAAATTCGGTGAAGTCTAAATACCGAAGTGCCGCGGTAAGCGTTTTTGACATGTACGCAAATGTCGCGGCTTGGGGTAGCGGTCAATTGTACGTTTTCTATATCTCGGGAACGGCTGGGCGGATTGAGATGGAGCCTGGGGGGTAGTAGGTAAGTTGGCTATGGGAAATTTTTTGGGACGGGTCATTTTGGTGCCGCACTTGAGTGTGGCGCCGAAATGGCCGGTTCAAAAATTCAACGCGTTATAATGCGTTTTTGAGAACTGGGGGGTCTTGGGGCCTGGGAGTGGTATTGTAGGGCTGGATGTTGGGAAGTTATGAATAGTTGACCACTAGAGTCTCGGGTGAACTTTTGGGAGTGTTATGGTCCAAAGTGTCCGGGTCAAAAAGTTGACTTTTTGCAACGTGAATTAAAACTCGATTTCAATAGCCAGATCGAAAGAGCGTCCCCTGGCGGTCAGAAAAAGGTATAATATGTTGGGGGTCCACTTGAGTCTCAAAAAGTTATAGCCGATGTGGCAAAATGTCCGAAAACTTTATGAGACTCTAACGTCCCGGGGAAATTTTTTAAAATTTTTTCGAGGCCGGATTCGTACTCAGCGGGTGCGAGAGCACCATATAGGTCGAATTTCGGTTCAAAATTCGAAAATTTTGTCCCCGCCCTCAGAACCAAAGGGGTACCCCTTTTGGGGAAAATTCGCGAAATTTTAAGTGGCCATAACTTTTTTTTGGATTGATGGATCGGGATGAGGTCTCCTTTATAAAATCAAGTAAAAAATTAAAAATTTTTTAAGCCGAAAAAATTTCGAAAAAATTCGAAATTGGGCCCGAGGGGGTCGGATTTCGAAAATTCGAAAAATTTTCGGTATTTCGTAAAAAATTCTTGATTTTTGCCGGCGTTTCGGGGCATAGGTATTTTTCCTGGATAGAGCAGATTTTTCTGCATAGAATAACCCTTACAAATATTCAAAAAAGGTTAACTTTGAAAAAGTTATGATTTTTTGAAAATTTGGTCGATTTTTTCGGCCAAAATTTTCGACTAAAAAAATATTTTTTCCAAAATGGGAATAAATGGGCCAAATGTTATATCAATCGAAAGCCCTTACCGAGGGGAGTCTAAAAATATTTTTTCTAAAATTTTTTGACCATTTTGGCAAAAGTTATAGAGGGTTGAAATTTCGGTGTTGGGTGGTACCATACCAAGTGGGGTACCAAAGGAGGGGTAATAAATAAAAAATACTTACGTTATGTTGTAGAGCAACCTCAAATCCATCGAAAAAATATAAAACTTTAAGAGGGACCACTTGAGTCTGCCAAAGTTATGTGGGTCAGAGATTTCAGTGTGGGGGCATTTTTGGGCCGAAGGCTACCAAAAACCACAGTATCCTTCTAAACGCTGGGTTTGGGGGGCCGAAGGCCCCCCAAACGCCCCGAGTAAACCTACCACAGCCACCAAAAGGCACAGTATCCGCTAAACGCTGGGTTTGGGGGCCGAAGGCCCCCCAAACGCCCCGAGTAAACCCACCACAGCTACCAAAAGCACAGTATCCATCTAAACGCTGGGTTTGGGGGCCGAAGGCCCCCCAAACGCCCCGAATCAACCCACCAGAGCTACCAAAAGCACAGTATTCGTCTAAACGCTGGGTTTGGGGGGCCGAAGGCCCGCCAAACGCCCCGAGTAAACCCAGCACAGCTACCAAAAGCACAGGATTCGTCTAAACGCTGGGTTTGGGGGGCCGAAGGCCCCCCAAACGCCCCGAATCAACCCACCACAGCTACCAAAAGGCACAGTATCCGTCTAAACGCTGGGTTTGGGGGGCCGAAGGCCCCCCAAACGCCCCGAGTAAACCCATCAAAGCTACCTAAAGGCAAAGTATCCAACTAAACGCTGGGTTTGGGGCCCCGAAGGCCCCCCAAACGCCCCGATAAACCCACCACAGCTACCTAAAGACAAAGTATCCGTCTAAACGCTGGGTTTGGGGGGCCGAAGGCCCCCCAAACGCCCCGAGTAAACCCATCAAAGCTACCTAAAGGCAAAGTATCCAACTAAACGCTGGGTTTGGGGCCCCGAAGGCCCCCCAAACGCCCCGATAAACCCACCACAGCTACCTAAAGACAAAGTATCCAACTAAACGCTGGGTTTGGGGGGCCGAAGGCCCCCCAAACGCCCCGAATAAACCCACCACAGCTACCAAAAGGCACAGTATCCGACTAAACGCTGGGTTTGGGGGGCCGAAGGCCCCCCAAACGCCCCGAAACAACCCACCACAGTTGCCAAAAGGCAAAGTATTTTATTAAACGGTGGGTTTGGGTGGCCGAAGGCCCCCCAAACGCCTCGAGTCAACCCGCCACAGCTGCCAAAATGCATCACAGCTTCCAAAATTACAATTCGTGCCTTTGGGGGCCGAAGGCCCCCTAAATGAAAAGCCAAGGATTCTAAACACATTTAACATAAATCGCCAAGCAAAAACTCCAACCTAGCGTCCTTTTAAAGCCGCAGGCTTTCCACGCGCGTCCCTGGACGCGCCTCCAAAGCTCTAGCAGCGCGCGAAGCGCGCCCCAAAGCCGTCAGGCTTTCCAAAAACAAAAAGTATGGTATCAAAGGCTCCCCCCGAGAATACCAAACCGCCAGAGTATTACAACCCAATTCAGCTATTTATCCTTAAGCTGGTTGGTTTACCAAAATTTGCTAGCTTATTTAAACAAATTTTGTGAGGTTCAGGTTCTCCAAGATGGAAAAAATTCTCCAAAATTTTAGTTGTAATATTTAATAAAGTAGGGTTTTGATTGTAAAACGACACCCCAATGTTAATGTTAAATTTTCTTCCAGAAGGTCAACACACAAATGAGATCCTACCCTCTCTAGTACGACATACCCACCTTAAAGAGGTGTCGTATAAATGAACGTCATAAACAGGGATGTGAATTATATGGACGAAAACTCAAAAAATAATCCTTAGAGGATGTATGAAATTTTTCAAAATACAGAGGAAAAATCCCGAAATATGGACGAAATATGGACAAAAAATTTTTTAAATTCATACTCAAATTAAAATTAAAAATAATAAAATTTTTCTCAAAGTCTTAGCAGAGGGTGAGCACTGTATTATTAAATAACAGAAAAAAAAAATAAAAAAATATACGTAAATAAAAAATAATTTTTTTCAATAAAATAAACAACCATAAATATACAAAAATAATACATATAAAAATAAATTTCTCAAATTTTCTAAAAAAAATTTTTTTTTCATAATTACAAAAAAATGTTAAATATAGCGTGCTAAATTAAATTATTTTTTAATTATTAAATTAATTTATTTTTAAAAAGTAATTTTATTTTTGTCTAAAAATAAAATTTTTTTATTCTGTAAAAATATGGCATTAATTAAAAAATGATGTAAAAAATATTTTTTTTAATTTTGCTATTTAATTTTAAAATTAAAGATTGAATTTTGTAATGGAAGCAGGCAATTTCGGCGCGAACCCATAAAGTCGTAGGACAATAGCTTACTTTAAAACCCTTCAAATCCTTCATGCCCTAGTAAGCAGGTTGGTCGGAGTTACGATTTCCGACGTTTTTTCCTTCCGAGTTCCGAAAAAAATTTTAATTTCCGAGTTCCGACTTTTGAACCAGTTCCGATTTCCGAGTAATCTGAGTTCCGACACCTCTGATGTTCTGACCCACTTCTGCTAGTATGTTGAGATGCAGCTTTACATGCTGAATCTAACTATATTAGACCGCTAAAGACTCTTAAGGACTTAATTTTGGCAAAATTAAAGTGTATTTTAGGAATTCAAATGTCCAAAAAAAATCCTAAAAAATTCACAAAAAAATTCCACCTTTAGGAGTAGAGTTGGGGTTTTCGAGTCGGGCCGACGTTCGAGTCATTTTTTTCGAGCCTCATTTTTTATCGGGCCGGACCGTCGTCTTTTTCGAGTTAAAATTTGGATGCCCGACTTGGATCTTTTGGATCACCCGACTCGGATCGGGCGGATCTTGCCCCCAATCCTATTTAAGAGGTGTGTATTCCTAAAACCGAAACCGGTCGGGTTGTTACCTATTATCAATTAGCATCTATTTTAGAGACCCCTCTCTATTTGGCTTTCGATTAATCGACCTTGAACACCCTTGTTTTAACCAGCGTTATACCCACAAGACGGAGAGGGTTCGCGGCGGATTGAGCGCATACCCATTAGAATTTTCTTTAAAAAGGAAGAAAAATTTTTCAAAAAATTTTAAACGCTGCAAAAATTAAAAAGGAATTAAAGAGTGAATAATAAATTAAAAAGTAGTAAATAAAATAATTTTTTAAATTAAAAAAAAATTTTTTTTTCTCAAAGCCTCCTTTCATCATATTAAAAATTAATAAAATAAAAAGGAAAATATGTAAATAATAAAGTGCAACAAAAGTGTAAAAAAGTAAAAATGGGTAAAAAATGGGTAAAAAATGGCAACTGGATAATTTTTTAAAAAAGTTCCTTTTTGCCCAAGTTTCGAAATATCTCTGAAGTTAAGGGTGATACTTTTGCTAATTTACAGGGCTCTTGCCCTGTTTTTGACCTTTCGCCCTGTTTTTCCCGTTCTGCATTATTTTAAAAATTTTTGGCATTCTGTAAATAAATGGGGTAAAGGGAGGATTTAAGACTTTTTTGGTTTTCCTAAATATAATATTTGAGGCAATAAAACGTGATTCTGGCCTCCTAAATTTAAGATTTTAGAAGGTGAAATACTGTCCCATTTTTTGCCATATTTTTGAGAAGCTGAGCCCTATTTTAACGTTTTGGAGAGTCCAGTTCCTACTCAGTGTTTGCTTACGGTATCGAGAACAGAAAATACTGAGACCGTATTTTAGATCCAGTATCCTTCAAAAGGTAACTGAGTAATATCTGATAGGAGCCTGAAGGTTGATGACTCGCGGGTTGGTTCCTTCTAAGGTGGGGGGGGGGGGGGGGGGTCGTGGGTTCGAACCCGTGCGGGAAAATTATTTTTTTAACATGAAAAAATACATAATTTCAAGGCTTGAATACTTTTATAGGGTTTTTTGGTCAATCCGGATTTTATTGGATAAGAAAAATATAATTTTCAATATCCATACAAAATCACCCAAAATTTTCAAAAAAATTTTTTTAGAAACTTTCCAAGCTAAATTTATTTAATTAGCTTTATTAAATGGTAAAATTAAATTTATTAAAAAAAGATTTGGCTTGAACATAAAAAATTTATCTAATTATTTTTTATTGGGAAATGCTCCAAAAATAAACTTTGCAAAGGATTGAAGCCGTTTGGGCGCGTAAGCATTTAGGCGCGTCCCTTAAAACTTAAGCTTAATCACACCCTAAATTGTTGAAATTTTTCACAAATTTTCTTAACGTCCCTGCCCAACATCTCCAAAAATTTCAAAATTCTTCGTCAAATATTCTTAAAGTTATGGTCGATAAACCTCGAAAAATTACGGTATTTTTGGGTGAATTGAGACATTTTTGGTCAGAATTTCTGAAATTCTGGTCCAAAAATTCTACAATTTTTTCAGAACGTAGATAAACATACGAGGTCCGTTTTTAGAAAATTTTATCTTTCTAAGTGCCACATTCTTTATTTTATAGCCTCTCGCGCCCTAACTACCTCGCGCCCAAACAGTCCCTATTAATTGGGAATTATTCTAAAAATAACTTTTTTTTGTAAAGAAAAAAATTTTCTAAAGCTTATTTTAAAGCAAAAAATAATAAAATAATAATATATTAAGTATTTTTTGTATTTTTTACAAAAATCCAAAAGTTGCAAAAATGAAACGTCAAACAACACAAACAAACAGAAAAATAAATTGTTGAGAAAATGTTAAGAAAAATATTTTTTTTATAAAAAAAGGCCAAGGAGTAAAAATAAAAAAATAGAGAAAAATATTTAGAAGGAATACAGAAAAACGGAAAAAATAAATATTGAAAGAAAAATATAAACGGTATTCGACAAAATGGTACAGAACAAAAAGGGTGTGAGGGGCAAAGCGGGGATAACGTTGAAGTTTGAAAGGAAAAATAAAATTTAAAAAAAGGGATTGGTAAAAAAACAGTAAACAGAAAAAACGGCATCGAAAAGGATTTGGTCAAATAGCGTTTTTGACATGTACCATTTTGTCGGAAGTACCGTTTTGTCTAAAATGCGCGCGCAAACGTCAATAAGAGAGAAGCAACAGAGTGCTCGAACCAACCGAGTTCCGGATTAAATAACTTTTGGAAGAATAGTCCGATTTTGATGATCTTTACACCATTGGATAGAGCATAAAATTTTCTATAAAATGAATTTTAAAATAAAAATTTTGATAAAATTTAAAAAGAGTTATGGCCAAAAAACGCCCTAAAAACCGAATTTTTAGCCAAAATTACAAGTTTTTCGGCCATAACTTTTTCCTTCTTTTATCAAAAATTCTGCTTTTAATGTATTTTGTAGCAAATTTTGTGCTCTATCCAATGGTACAAAAATCGTCAAAATTGGACCATCCATAAAAAAGTTATTGGGCCAGTAATAAACTGACCTCAACACTCGTCAACATGTAAAAAACGGGGAATGGAAAACATTTTTTCTTTATTCTATCATTTGTTTGGGGAGAAAAACTGAGGGGAAATGAATAGCAAGCACGCTCGTGAAAAAAGCTGTATAGTGATAGATAAAGCTGAAAAATCAATAAAGAATGCGTGGAATTAAATAAAAATGAAGAAATGGGGCAATTTACCGAAAGATTTTTTACAGAATTAATAAAAAATGTTTGGTTTTCGTGTAAAATTTTTTTTTCTTAACTCTCTATATAAGATACACCCATTATACGCCCCATTATAGTACCTACATACCTCTCTACAATATACACCCAATAATACACCTCGATTTAAGATACAGTTTTTAAAATTAGATTGACCATTAGGTAAGGGAGGCTATCTTAAAGACACCCCCAGTTTAGGGCACCCCTTATTTTATAAGATACGATTATTAGCCCCGAAGGGTGTCTTATAAAGAAGTCTAATAGTGAGGTAATTCCCCTGGGGAATTATTTTTTCAACCCATCCGTAGCATGGGGAATTATTAAAGTTTTGACATTTGAACGTGTAGAGGGTATTTGGGGGAAGGGGGAATATTGTTTCAACTCATCCGTAGCAGGGGGAATTATTCGAGGGAGGGGAATTAATCGAGTAAATAGGTATTTGTAAAATTGTGTAAAATTTAAAAAATAAAAAAATTTTATTATAGTCAAATAATAATTTTAAAATAATAAACATATTTACTAAAAAATATTAACGTTTATATGTAAAAGAGCTTTTAATATTTTTGTTTATTAAACTTTATTAAATAAATGATAAACTAAACTTTTGTCTTTTTTGAGTAATAAAAAGGTGAGTAAAGAATAAACTTTCGATTTTTTTTGATTAAAAATTTTCAAAAATTTTTAAAATTTTTGAAAAAAATATTTTTTACTCGAAAATGTATGTAAGGGAAAGACGTGGTTTCTGCTTTCGCCTTTCGTTTTCTGTAAAATTTCGCATTCTGCTTTCGCTTTTTATTTTGATCGCTTTCTCTCGCTTTAGCATTTTAAAAAGACGGTAAGGCCCATTTCTAGTACTTTAATTTAAATAACCCTTAATAATTAACCTCTATTTAAATTAACTCAATATAAGAAAGATACGAACACACCCCAAGGTACCCCAAGCCCAAGGCAACTCTGTTCCGTATTGCGAATCCGGGACGCCCTGGTATGGTTCAATGGCCTCGTAGAGCTGAATCGAATCGTACATCCCGTATTCGACAATTTGGAGCGAAGTTACCTTGGTCCGCGGTACCTTGGTCTGCTGCCGTAATATAGGCAACAATCAAGATACCGTATATCCTTTAATAATTACTCTGGGTAATTATTGTTTCGACCTTCCGCTGGAGGGAGTAATTAATCGGGGGAGGGTAATTATACGAGGTTTGAAATTTGACCGTGTTTTAGGGCATTTGTTTGGGGGTAATTATTGTTTCAATCTATCACAGGACGGGGTAATTAATGGAAGTGGGGTAATTATTTGAGGGAGAGCAAGTAATACAGGTTATACGGTAGGTAACAATCAAGTTAAACGAATAACCGTTTCGATTGATATCCTTTTTGATATCCTAGTCCTGCTATAATTATGATACGTTTTTCATTTTAATATTAGAAAATTATTTAATTAAAAACAAAAATAGAATATTTAATATTATGTAAAAATTAAATAAATTTGTTTATTTTTAAAAAAATTTTTCATTTATTTTTTTAAAAATATTTTTATTTTTTTAACGATTAAAAGTACATAGGTACACAAAATTCATTTATTTTTATTAAAGTGCATGTATTTATTTTTAATTTTTGTTTTTAAAAAAGAAAAAAAAGAAATGAATGTTGGATATTAAAAACAAAGTTTTCTTTTTCTCTATCTATTTTTTGATTAAAAAAAATAAAAAAAATATTTTGGATTTGTGAGATTTGAGGAAATAAACTCATACAAGATACACAAACTGTGCCAATACCTTGTCAAATCTCGTAGAGTATGATACGCCTGGACTATATTAAAAAGAGTTGTAAGGATTCCGCTGGCATTTCAGGCAACTTTGTTTAAAAATGGCGACTTTGTTTAAACAGAGCAACAGGTTCTAGTTTCTATCGAAAAGGTTTCATGGTGGGGAAAATCAGTCCAAAACCGCCAAGAGAACATCGTTTACTGTGAGTGCGAATTTGATATTATCTTTGGTACCATTAGAAAGAGGGGGAGATTACATCTTGCAAAAGATGTATTTAAACCGAGTTATCGCGCCCATAAATGTATATACTATATACACAATTGACGTAAAACCTTCAGGCCTAACATAGAAACACCCTTAATTAACCAAAATATTTAGCCAAAAATAAACTGCTTTTTGTGCAAAACTTTATTTAAAAATAAATAGAAAGATTAATATTATATGTAAAAACAACAACAAGTAACCAAGGCTCCATTTAAGGAAAGAAAGTAGTTGCAGATCCAAATTAAGGCTTTAATAAGTATTAAAAAAAGGTGTGTGTGTGTGGTTGTTTTGGAGGGGGAAAGAGGTTTTCTTAGCTAGTTAGTAGGCTCTATATTTAGTTAAGGGTGGTTGCCAAGGAAAAAAGTGTGTGTGGAGTGTGTGTGGAGTTTGTAAATCTTCCAATTCCTTTACTTAAGAAAATTTATTTTTCAGTAGCTACTTAATTAGATGAAAAGAAAAAGTAAAGGAGAAGAAAGAGCTGAGTAAATAAAGAATTTTATTGAAAATATCCCACACCCATTAAGAGATTCGAGAATTGCCAAAGTCGAGGAGCACGAGAATAACAGCTTTATCAAGGGTAGAAAGTAGCAAAGTAGGCGAAAGGGATGAGGATGGATTAGATGAAGGAGATCAGAGACTAGTACGGACTAATTTAACCAATCTAGCAAAGCAAGACTCTCGGTCCTGAGTATTAACTCAAAACTTTTCATGGATTCAGTCATGTCTAGGGGTCCAGTCTTGGCTTGGAAAATTTTCGGGCTCGGACATCTCTCCAGCATGGCCGATGACGTTTGCTTTACATCAATATCAAAAGCATAGTTTATAAAGGGCTTAGAATAACAAGAGTTATTAGACGAGATCAGGATCAGAAATGGAAGGGATCGAAGAAAAGATGGGCCGAGTTTTGTTTTGGATATGGGTCACGAGTCCATGTTTGGATTTACTGTTTTGGTCTCTAATTAGAAACTTGTTTGATGAAATTATTTGAGGAGGAGGAGGTGGAAGAGGGGAGGGGGGAAGAGGGGGGGGGGAGAAGGAGAGGGGGGGGGGGGGTTTGCTTGACTTTTTCGAGAAACCCCAACAGTTCTATTTATGTACTAAAAATACGAAAACAAGCTAATAAAATATAAAACTTTGAGAAATTAAAAAATGATTTCTCGTGTAATTTTAAAGTTTAAACAAAACAAAAAAAATTTAAACACAAAACGCAAAATTATACACAAAACAGAAAAAAAATTTTTTTTTCCATGTTAATAAAATTTATCAAAAATTAAAAATGTTTATAAAAACAGTTTAAGGGGAGAGGGATACTTTACAAGAAAAAAATTTTTTGCCTCTCAAATAAGGGAAAGGGAGAGAATGAATGGGTGGTAGTAACAGGCACGTACAAAATAAAAATTAAAAGAAAAAATAAACAGAAAATAAATCTTTTTTTTTCTGTTTCTATTAAATGAAAAAAATCTTTGACAACGATCAGTGTTTGAAAATTAAAAAAATTTTTTTTTGTAAATTTTTTGTGAATTTACAGGTGGCAAGTGAAAAGTGTAAGTAAGTTGTTTGTTTGTATGCGTAATTAATTTGTATTTATTTTTAAATTAAAAAAAATTTTTTTAAAAGAAAAGTAGAGGAGATGTGAGAAGATAATCGAAAACGGAAATAAATTAGAGAAAAAATGGGCGCGCGATATGACGACAAAAATAAATATAAAAATGAATGAGCAGGTTAAGGTTTAGGGGGGTTGGGAGGACTTTAAGGCGCAGACCTAAAAATAAAAATTGAAGAAATTTTTGCAAGAACAACCCTTATTTAATGTAAAACAGGATCACACTAAGAGATGCCCTCTTAGGGCTAAGGTTGTCGGATAGTTGGAAATCTTCGGATATCCGGACCGATATCCGAACCGTATCTAGGTTCTCCAATAATTTCAGAATCTTTAGGCCAGAATTTCAGAAATTATTACCAAAAATGTCCTCTTTATTACTAAAAAACAAAACTAATTTTAAGTTTATCGACTATAACTTGATGAAAAATTCTAAAATTTTTGGGGAAGTTGGGAGAGGATGTTAAAGAAATATGGAAAAATTTTCAGAAATATTGGCTTAGGTTAAATGAAAATTTTTAGGCGCACGCCCAAAAGATCCAGAGGCGCCTAAAGGGCATCCAGTTTTTGGTTGAAAAAGGATGAAAATTAAAGAAGAGAGAATAAAATACGATTAAGGGGCAAAACACCGTCCGACCAAATACAGTTCGGAATCAGGGTAAAAAGTGCCATGCAATTTTACAGATAATAAACTTTATCATTCCATGAACGTAGAATAAAACCCCCTAGTAATTTTAGGAGCATTTTTAAGGGTGAAAG